TTTTCTCACACGAGTTCGAGGCCTCGCGGTGCTCGGCTTCGGGGCCTACGCGAAGAGACATTCCTCCTGTATGCCAAACCAGAGCCCTAAAGCGCAAACTGCAAGCCTTCTTCGTTCACGCTGGCAGCATCGTCTCCCTAGAATCATGCACAGAAATCGGGGATGCTCAGGCAAAAGAAGCAGCAGGCTAAAATTTAGCGAGATGGCTGATTTATCTGGCGAACACTTGACAGAACACGCACCGAAGTCTGCAGTTTCAGCTGTTGGATCAGAACACAATCTGTTGGAGTTCGCCTCGGTCCGATATGCAGGAAGGCGCCAAAGGGCTACCCTGGCGGATGTTGGCTGCCGTCAGTTTCTCCGTCGTACAGAAAATGCGTCTGAAAGGGGACGAGCTGTATCCGTAGCGGCTGTTAGGCAAGCAGACCACAGAACATGCAGCGCACCTTCTGTAGACTTCCTGCGGCCGTTACCCCCCCACAGCACAGCAAGGGAAAGGGACGAAAAAGCCTTCCTTCAGCCTTTTTTGTGGTGTTTAGGTATAAATTTGCTGCGGGTTGCTGAAAGGGCACCTTGTTTCACAGATTCAATCATGAGAAAGTGCGAGAGCAAGAGGCTTCTTCGGGGTGACCAGACGGCACCTCGCTAGCAGCATCCGAGCCACCCGATGGGCCCCTGGCCTCTAACACCCCCCCCGGCTCCGAGGCGTTTCTCGGAGTTCCGCGTTAGTGATTTGTATTTATTTAGGCTAGTGAGGAGAAGCTATGATGACGGGGAAGGGTGTAAGGATTGGAGTGGTCGGAGAGTCTCCAGACCAGCCTTCTTCAGGGTCGCTTAGGGGGGTTCGTGTTGGCACTGCACGTGGCGAGACTTTCAGGCCTAGATCCTTACCAGTCCAATCGCCAAAATCTCTTTCATGCGCACTTTCTGCGCTTCATGCGAAGTCGAGACACTAGGAAAGCTGGACATGACGCTGGGGGACGTTAAGCCGTTCCTCTCTGTGAGTGTTTCGAGCAGCCGGCGGTGTAAAGGGCGCAGGGTTTAGGGCATCCGATGCTGATCAACAAAAGTAGCTTCGCGCGAAGCATGCTGCAAGTACGGCCTGGAAGGCGCACTTCAGCCGCTCGTTCCCCAACTGCAGTAGCCGAGCACTCACGTCATCTGTTGTTTCCCTGTCTGCTTTGTTTCGCAGCCCTCCATCGCGTTCAGGTGGTTTGCATCGGCAGCTGCAGTCCAATGGCAGCAGGAGCTTCGGAATGGCCCCCCAGCTGCTGGCGCCTCTGCTTGCCGAGCGCCGCTACCACAGCAACAGCTGCTCGCGCAGCAGCACCAGACAGCTGCAGATAAATGGCATGCAGCTGCATGTGTGCTCTCAGCTGCTGCCGCGACTGCAGCAGGCACGGCAGGAGGGGCTCACGCCGTCGATTCAGGGGCTAAGGGCCTTCACGTGCTTCTGACACTGCTCGCCGATGCCGCTAGCAGCCGGCGAGACGTACAGCAGCAGCAGCAGCACCGCCATCCTCGTCTGCATCAGCAGCTGCAACTCTTGCAAAAGCCGCCGGAACCTCCGCAGGCGCCGCCTTCTCTGCAGGAAACGCCTCTCAAAGAGACTGGGGAGGCCTTGGCGCGCTGGCTGTTTGCGTCTGCCGCCCCCCAGCTGGAAGAAGAAACAACAGCACGCATGCGCTGTACGCGCTGCCTGACTAAGCAGCCTCAACAGTCGCAGCATCCTCGCCAAGAAGTACCCGCCGGAGCTGTTTCCTCTGCTGCAGCTCACGCGCAAGTCCATCGTCCTCCTCGCTCCATGGATGATCACCCCCACGACCACAAGCAGCTAGGCCCCTCAAAACAGGAACGGGCTGCAGCTGCAGCCGCAGGCAAGCACCCTCCTTCCTTCTGGAGCGCCTCCCTCCAGCAAAAGCCCTTCTCACGCTCCAGCTCTGCCTGCACGCGAACGTGCGGGGGAAGGGGGCCGTGTTGGTGTGCGATTCGTCAGGCTTCGGTACTGCAATGCACGAGCTGAAGCGGCGACGCCTCGAGGGAATTCCGGAGGCTGCAGAGGCAGTTCGCTCTCTGGAGCACAAGACACATGGGCACATGCAGGTAAGGGCCTAGGCTTCTGGAGGGTGTTGCTCCTGGAAGGCATGCACCGAAGCGGCGCCGTACAGGCTCTCGCTCCGTTGCTCTCTTCAAATTTGTTTTTGAGCCCGTCTTGCTGCTGCTGGCACGGCTGCGCTGTGGGCTGTTTCCGCTTTTTGCAGCAGCACCAGAAAGGCGCGATGAAGTGTACAGACACCGCGGAGGAAGATCCTGTGGAGGCGTATGCCGTATGTCATGAGGCCTGCGTCCTGCCGTGTTTCTCTGGGGCCGTCCCTGTTTTGTCTCTTTTTCTCGAAATTCATCTTCCGCAGTGGGAGGCGGGAAAAAGTTGAACTGGCTGGAGCACGCTGGTGTCTGACCCTTGTGTCGGTGGATTTTGTTTGCATGCCATCAGTCGTTGCTCGGAGGCGATGTTCAGCCGGAAATCCTACGCTGGGTGTTGAGCATGAAGGTCGTTGTTGACCCACAAAATCAGGTGCGCCGCTCGATAAAGCTGCTGCTGCTGCTGCCGCTTAGGTCGATGTTGCTGTCGCTTGGCGGATAAACGCCGTCTTGGCGCCACGGACGCCGCTGCCGCTGCCTGTGAAAATTGCAAGCAGCGGCCTTTCTTTCCGCTCTTTCTGGAGCTCTGTTGTAGAGGCGCTGACAGACCGGTGTTCATGATTAGAGCCATGCTGAGAGGCAGGAGTTTATTATCAGAGTCATGCTGGGAGACCGGAGTTTATGATTAGAATCTTGCTGCGCAACCAGAGATTATGATTAGAATCTTGCTGTGCAACCAGATTTTTTTCATAAGAGTCATGCTGAGAGACCGGAGTTCATGGTTAGAGTTTTGCTGTGCAACCAGAGATTATGATTAGAATCTTGCTGTGCAACCAGAATTGTTTTCATAAGAGTCATGCTGTGAGACCGGAGTTTGTGATTAGAGTCATGCTGAGAGACAGGAGTGTATTATCAGAGTATTGCTGCGCAACCAGATTTTTTTCGTTAAAGTCATGCTGAGAGACCGGAGTTTATGATTAGAATCTTACTGTGCAACCAGATTTTATTAGAGTCATGCTGAGAGGCCGGAGTTTATGATTAGAGTCTTGCTGCGCAGCCAGATTGTTTTCATTAGAGTCATGCTGCGCAACCAGATTTTTAAAATTAGAATCATGTTGTGAGACCGGAGTTTATGATTAGAATCTTGTTGAGCGACCAGATTTTTTTCATTAGAGTCACGCCGACAGGCGTGTTGATGATGGCTGGGCTGGGTATTTCAGGTCCAGGCGGTTCGGCGCCGATCGCCTCTCAAAGCACCTTTGCCTGTCTTCCCGTCGGTTATCGAGCCATGCCTTCCTTGCCTCTGCGCTCTTGGCGGTACTTTGCTGCTCTGCTGCAGACACGCGCCTACGACATTGCCGGCTTGGACGCGATCAAGAAGCTGTTGAGGTGCCTTTGCACCGCGCTTTGCAAGTTGCACTCCCAGGAGCCAAGCCTGGAGCTGCTTGGAGCGGTTCTCAGTGCATGCAGAATCCGATTGGACGACGGCGGCAGGCCTCGCCTTGGGGAATTCGACACATGCCGTGCCCTCGTCTTTTTGCTCTATGTACGGCCGCTGCCGCTGCATTTGATTACGCGCATCATGCAAATTTGCTGTCTGCGGTGACCACAGAGACAAAATCATAAATCCTGTTCTGCGCCCCGACTTGCACGTCGGACTCCATCGCGCGCCACGTGGCATTCTCCTCTTCGGGCCGCCTGGCACAGGCAAGGTATGCATGCACAAGCAATATTCTCGCAGAGAGAAATGCTTGCGGAGGCATCGCTAGCTGTATATATATATATATCTCGTTCGCTATATATATGTATATATCTCGTTCGCTATATATATGTATATATCTCCCTCGCTATATATTTGTATATATCTCCCTCGCTATATACGTGTATATGTATACATATTATCTCTCCCTCGCTGTATATATGTATTTATCTCCCTCGCTATATATATATATATATGTATATATCTCCCTCGCTATATACATGTATATATGTATGTATCTCCCTCGCTATATACATATATATATATATATATCCCTCGCTGTATATATGTATATATCTTCCTTGCTGTATATATGTATGCATATATATGTATGTATCTCCCTCGCTATATATGTACATATATATATATATATATACTGCTCGCTGTTCGAAACCTTTCTCTGGCCTCTCTCTCTCTCGTTGTGATTTCGTGGCGACACGGTTGGCTTGTTTTTTGCCTCATCCATAGCAGCGTCCCCATTGAGGCGCGTCGAAAAGGTTCAAGGAGTCTTTTAGTAGAAAAGTGGCATAAGGCAGACTATTTCAATAGAGTCACACGTTCCACTGTTTTATCTGGCGCGCACGCGCGCGCGTCCTTGTCACCTCGGATGAACGGCCTGAATTGAAAGGGAGAGAATGAGAGAGGAGAGAATGAGAGAGTTTTTTTTAAGTGAGGGGAGGATGACAGGGGGAAAGGCGGGAGTGTTTGTACTGCAGATTGAGCTTGAGACGGGGGTGGGCTGGTGGCGTGCAATTAGGAATCAAGTGTAGCTATTTTTTGATACGTGTGTGGAGTCATTTTTGCGGCCTGGGGTGTCTCTACAGACGACCCTGGCGAAATGGATGGCGGCAGAGAGTGGTGCTTGCTTTTTTGAGGCAAGTGCGCTGTCTTGGAACCCTCCCCGCCCCTCCCTCCGCTTCTCCCTACCCATTTTTTTCTTCCGCAGTCAATAGATGCTGGTGCTGGCTTTTAGAGAGCTTCCTGTGTTCAGCAGCGGCAGTGTGAAATCGCAGGTGACGCCGTCTTCCGTCATCAGCAAGTTTCATGGGGAGACTGAGAAGCTCATCAAAGCTCTTTTTAAAGGCGTGTTAATCCTGAGCCGTAGACACTTAGCAGAGGTTTTTGTCTGGAAGCGTTGCACACGGCCCTCTTGGGTGTCTAAAGACTTTGAAGAATTGCCGAAAACGCCTAACTCACCCTCCTACACGTTGAGCCTTTGCGCACGAGAGCGCACACTCGAAGGCCTCCTCTCATGGGCGTGGTGTTGTATTCAGTGGCGGAGTTGGAAAGCCCTTCATTGATCTTCATTGACGAAATCGATTCCTTGCTTGGAAAACGGCGTGAGGTAAGCGCCACTTCTACCGACAGGTGCAGCTTCTCAGCTGCTTCCAACTCCAAGAGATCAAGAGCACGCATCAAACTTCCCGCGCTAGACACGCACTTCATGGTCCCTTGAGGCGTTTGCGCTTTATGGGGTGTAGCGAGAGGATGACACGTCCATTCGCATGAAGAATCAGCTGCTCCAGATGATGGTAGGGGCGCTCCTACGACCATTCTGCATCTCATCTCCGGTGTTTTTGCGGCTGCTGCTGGTGCCTTCTTCTTGCTGCTTTGAAGCGCTGCTGTCATTTTATGCCGTCATGGCTGCGTCCATGGCTGGCTGTGGCTGCAAACCATCCGCAGTCTTTCCTGCTGCTGCTGCTGAGCTTGGGCTGCTGCTGCGACACCTGCAAACTTCCTCGGGAGACTGTGTTTTGTTTGCTGCACAGGATGGCTTAAGCAGCAGCAGCACAAGCACCATTATTGTTGTGGGAGCAACGAACCGTCCAGACATGCTAGACGAGGTATAACAGGCTCTATACAATGCGGCCTGCTGTATTGGCTCGATGTTTGGAGAATACGCTTCATTCCCCCCACCAATCCCCGCACTCTCTTAGCAGCGTGCTGCCGCCGATAATTCTGTAAATGGCAAATGGCTGCTAAGCGCATGCAACACGTTATGACGTTTCAAGTCAATGTGCACCTTGGGGCGGCCTTTGGGTGTGTGTGCATGCATGCATGCGTATCTGTATGCATCCATGAATGAATGGTGTGTATATATGTGTGTCTGTAGATGTGTGGGAATGTGTTTGTGTATGTATGTGAGTTTGTTTATGTGCACCTGTATGTATATATGTGTGTCTGTAGATGTGTGGGAAGGTGTTTGTGTTTGTATGTGAGTCTGTCTCTGTGTGTGTGTGTATATATGTATGTCTGAAGATGTGTGGGAAGGTGTTTGTGTATGTATGCAAGTCTGTCTGTGTGTGTGTGTATATATGTGTGTGTCTGTAGATGTGTGGGAATGTGTTTATGTTTGTATGTGAGTTTGTTTATGTGTACGTGTATGTATGTACGTATGTCTGCAGATGTGTGTGAATGTGTTTGTGTATGTATGTGAGTTTGTTTATGTCTACTTGTATGTATATATCTGTGTCTGTGGATGTGTGTGAATGAGTTTGTGTATGTATGTGAGTTTCTTTATGTCTACCTGTATGTATATATCTGTGTCTGTGGATGTGTGGGAATGTGTTTATGTATGTATGTGAGTTTTTGTTTATGTGTACCTGTATGTATATGCGTATGTCTGCAGATGTGTGGGAATGTGATTGTGTATGTATGCAAGTCTGTCTGTGCGTTGTATGCATGTGTCTGTACACTTAGGCAGCAGTGCGGCGTTTAACCCGCCGCGTCTTAGTGCCTCTTCCTGACGTCGAGACGCGTGCAGCCATCATCAGGTTCGGATAGATGTTGCCTATGAGGCGCACACACATCCCTTGGGGTAATGAATTCTTTTTCGTTTCCAGCTTTGGGGCTGCATGCAGAGCTATTTTTGCGGTGTACTCAGGCAGGTGCTGGATTCGCAGACACCCGGCGGCTGCCGCCTCCTTCCCGAGGTACGTCATGCTGCCTGTGTCTTTCTCTCTGTGCTTTTATCAGCCTCTTTAGAGGTCCTCACTTGAGCAGCTCGACCTAACGGATTTTCCCCGCGTATTGCATGGGTGGAAAGGATAACGGAAGGCACGCATCTGTGGTAGTCCATGTGCTTTTTTTCTTCTGTCTCGCGCGCATGTCTCTGTATGTGTGTGTGTGTGCAAGTCTGTGTGTATCTGAATCTGTATGCATATGTGTCTGTGTGTGCAAGTCTGTGTATGTGTCTGCGCGGCTGTGTGTGTGCAAGTCTGTGTGTATTTGAATCTGTATGTATATGTGTCTGTGTGTGCAAGTCTGTGTATGCATCTATGTGTGTGTGTGTAAACCTGTCTGCGTGTGAGGAGTAGCCTTTCTGTTGGCGGGTTCTGCTGCTGCGTCGACGCTCGCTCGGCTAGCCATGGCACCCTCGCTTTCCTTCTTCCACGTCTCCCTCCACGCGGCTCTATCTCAGCCCTAAATAGCCTTTTCTTCCTGCTTCTTTCGCTGCCACTTGCTTTTTTTCTTTAGGAGCTTGAGAGTTTATCCGAGAAGCTGTCCAACTGGAGTGGAGCAGATATCAGGGCGCTGTGTGCATCCGGTAAATAGAAACTTCTGCCACTGCGCCTGTTTCTGCAACGCTGGCCGCACATTCATGCACACACAATGCATGAATATATATGTATATAAATATAGATATATTAGATATACACAGATATACATATTTTGACGCATGAATATGTATATGCGTATGCCCTCTGCTTTTCCGCTGTCTTCCCGTCCGCCTGCAACACCCGCGAGGGGGCACATTCAGCAGGCACTAGCGGAGAAAGAGGCTGATCGCGTTTTGTATTTGGGCAATTGAATTCAAGCCTCGTGCAGTCCGTGTTAACGCCATCCCCTGCTGAATACCTTAAAAAACGCATTGCTGACAAGCCTGCGTTCCTAGAGTCCGTCTCCCTCATGTCTTGTTGCTGCAGCGGCAGACAGGGGCTATGACGAAGCTATTCAGCAATTTGGAGGCATCGACAAAATTCCCAGCAGGAACGCCTTTAGGCCGATCTCGCATGCGGATTTTCTCGAGGCGTTGAAGCATGTGAGTGCTGCGAGGTGCTTGTTTCTGCTTTTTAAAGCTCCTCTCCCACTAGCTGGAAGGCTGCTACACGCTTCGCATGCGATTCAGTGTATGCGTGCGTTTTTTTCAAGCGGCTTTCGAAGGCTGCAGCGCTCCCCGCGCGTCCTTCTCACACCTTACTTGAAAACTTGCATCTTTTCCCCTTCCCTTCCTCCATCTCCCCACCCCACTTTTTGAAGGATGTGCTGCAGCTGTGGAAGTTCATCTGCGAGGTTGCGTTTCTGCTCAAGGTTCGGCCTTCTGCCTCCTGTACAGATGCGCAACTCGCCAAGTGGATGGAAGCTCACGGTGCTCTCTAGGCGTCACGCTGCCTTTCGGCTCTGCCGTTCGCCTTTGCTCTCTTCTGAAGGGGGCAAACGCGGGGTAGGGGGAGGAGGGGGGCACTTAGTTTTCTATCTAAATAGGTTATTTGTCTCAAGTGCCAGGCGGCTGCTTCCTGCTCCGTGTGCTGTTCATACTCCTCTAAAGCCACAGCAGGCAGCAGCCCTCCACACCCTCAGAGTGGTGTGGAGTACTCGTGTACTCTTTCCGGTGCTTCTTCTTGTTGATCTAAAACATTACGGCGCACTTCTACGGGCAACTGAGCGCTGCACGTACTGCTCTCGCTGCACAGCCTCTTTGCACCTCCCCACCCTTCACTCCCTCCTGCCTCTAGTCTCTTGGCCTCTCACTCAACAAGGCTGGAAAAAAAACGCGCGCTGCACTAAAAGAATTCGACGCCAAACAAGGCAGACGCAACCAGAGCTTCCCACCCTGAAGACTCACGAGAAAACAGCCTAGACAAAGGGCGAAAGGCACTGCTGCAAAACGAGACGTATACGACGCATACGAGCGCCGTGACAAAACGCATTCAAGAAGAGGCAGAGATACAGCGAACGCAGAAGCCTCAGCGGCTCACTGCGAAAGGGACAAAGGCGGCACGCAGGAGGAAAAAGCAAAAAGTCGCAACAATCCAACGCTTTGAGCAGAAGGTAGCGTGTTTTTCGCAGACTTGACCTCGTCCTCGCCCCCCGGAGACAAGCGCAAAAACGCACATGTTGTCACCTGCCGTTGCTACAACAACTGCTGCTGCTGCTGTTGCCTTTGCTACAACAGCAACTGCTGCTGTTGCCTTTGCTACAACAGCACCTACTGCTGTTGCCTTTGCTACAACAGCAACTACTGCTGTTGCCTTTGCTACAACAGCAACAGTTGCTGTGGCTGCTCATGCTGGCTCTCCTCCCGACATGCACGTCGCACCAGCGGGAGGCGCTCGCTTGCCTGTGCGTTCTGTCTGCATGCATCCTGCCTCAGCTGCTTCTGCTGCCGCGAAAGGGCATGCACAGGAGACAGCTTTTGGTATAGTTGGCATCTCCACAGCATTGAGTGCAGCCTTTCCTGACGCGCTGTCCTCGCGCGCGCAGGCGCTGCTCACCTGCTGCGCCCCGAGTGTATCGACAGCCACCTCACTGGCAAAATGTGGGAGGTGAAGCCAGCGAGCGAAGCAGTCGACGCTCCAGCCGCAACTTCTTCGTGTTTGTGCTGCACCCAAGCCCACAACTGCAGCAGCAGCTGCTGCAGACGCTGCGGCTGGACGAAATAATAGAGAAGCGCGGCAGTGCAGCACAGTCCTGTTAGCAAGCAGAGACACAAACACCATAAAACACACAACTGCGTCCCCCGACGAACACGCCTGCTGTATTGCGCTTGCCGAGCAGCTTAAAAGTGCCCTTGCAAGTGAGGTGCCTCGCAGCAGGATGCCTTCCCCCCTTGCATGCGAGAGCACCATTCTGGAGAGATTCGGTTTGCGGGCATAGAGTCAGACACGCGCGGCTCTGTCGCCCTAGGGAGAAACATCGCCGAAAGCGCTTGCTAGTCTCAGCAGCACACGCGGGAGAAGGGAAGAAACACGGCAGCAGAGGAACGAACAGCAGCACGCAAGCAGACAGACAGGCAGAGACACACAGAGATGAGAGGGAGGTAAAGGAGATTATAGGATGCACACGCATGTTTGGGCATGCACGGGAAAAAAGACAGAAGGGCATTTTATGAGCGAAGGCACCACGGCTGTGAGAAGAGCTGAGGAAGTTCGCAAGCGTGCAAGGACCTCTGGATGCTTTTTGCGCTATTACCAGCAGCAACAGACAGGGAATCATCATCTGTGACGTTTTATGGCCTTTTTTGTTGAATGCCTTACCCGCACCAACAAGCGCACGTGTCCATACACCCCAGGAGGGAGGAGGCGCCCTGCGAAAAAAAACAAAGACAAGCTTCCAAAGACGCATGCAAACGCGTGGAAAGTCTTGTCGCTTCTTAATATCAAAACAAAAATCCTCTCGCTCGCATCGCCGCAATGCCTCCACAGCCAAAACGCACCAGAGTCATGCAGTTTCGCGGGCAGTACACGCTGATAGCGGAGGTGAAGTGACAGCGTATTTCTCCCCCTCTCTCTTCCCCCCCCCCCGCGCCGTCCATACACCCTCATACCCCTCCTCCCATGAAGCAACGAGCCGCACAGAAATCCCTTCCTGCCCTCCTCTTTCCCCAGTGCTAGCCTCTCTCTACGTCTCCCCCCTCCCCCTTAAACCCTCCCTCCGCTTCCCCATTCACACTGCCTTCGCAGTAGCAACTCACATTTCATCTGCCAGCTTCGAAAGGTTGCAGGCTGCGTATGGCCCCCTCGGCACGCCACTTACGCATAGATGAACTGCACAGAGCACTCCACACGCGAAAGCGCAGACACTCACCTATGGATATACACCCACAGGTACATACACACATATATTCACGCATGTTCTCATACATATATAGACGCATAGTTACATATATATATCTATATTAACGCATAATCGCGTTTATATTTATTCACCGAGTCCGATATGTGTATCTATATATATATATATATATATATATATATATATATATATATATATATATATATATATATATATATATATATGCACGCACAGTTACACATATACGCACAGTTACACATATATATCTATATTTTTACGCAGAGTTACATCTACGTAAACGCACGCAGACAGAGCTTTTGCATGCTCCTGTGCATGACAACACACACAAACGGGGTCCAACGATGTCGGCTCGGCTAATCTCTTTCTGAGTCTGCTACAAATGCGGATTGTGTGCACACCTGCTGCAGTCCATTTTAGGATAGAGGGAAACAAACAAACGCACATACATACACATACACATATACACATACACACATATACTCATACACGCATATACACATACACACAAAGGACTCAAGATGCCTTGGCTTACCTTTTAAAGGGAGAGCCAACTGCGAGCAGTCGGAGACAGTAACTTCGTGCAGCGCTCCCTAGTGCAACAGCAGCGCATGTGGCAGTCAGTCAGTCCATACAACAAAGCGCACTTCGATGCATGCATGCATGCATGCGGCGAGCACGAGGGCAGGAAGGGGGCTTTTTTCAAATGTCTGCTAGCCGAACGCAGCTTTTTTAAAAAGGATAAAAATGCAGATACGCGCCAAAAGGATCCTCGAAAATCCACAGAAAGATTTTTCCTTCCCCCTTCGAAGGCACCCGTTCTCCCGCAGCAGTAGCAGCACACGACCCTTTGAACTCACTCGGAATCTGTAAAGTACGTAGAGGGAAATATCGCCGCCACTAATCTGCGTCACTCGAATGCAGCATAACTAAGTATGTATTTCATAAAGCCTTGGCAGCAGCCGCAAGTGCCACCAACTTCCCCGTCTTTTTCTCCCTCTCTCTTCCTCTTCCCTCTGTGCAACACCCCTTTATCAAGTTGAGGCGTCTCCTTGCTTGCCAAATATCTTCTTGGAGAGCAAGGGGATGCATGCAGCTTCTTTAGAGGAGGAAAAAGACTTTCTGCAGATTTCTGCCTCCCCGAGAGTTTTGGTTTTCCCAACCTCCAAAACAGCAGTCATGCCTCCAATTAAAAAAATAAAATCGCATCTCACCAGGGGAGCAGGGTTGTAAAAGCCCTTAAGTTGCTCAAAAGAAGCCGCAGCTCCTCCAGGAAAGACGAAGCGAGAATTGTCAATTTGACACTGCATGGCCACACAGCAATACGCCAAAGCGTTTCAAATATTTCGCATCCCTTCACGCATCGCCGACACTTCTCCCTCCTCTCTCGTTTCTTTCTCCCTTCTCGTTTCTTTCTCCTTTCTCGTTTCTTTCTCCTTTCTGCGTCCTCTCCCCCTTCTTTCTCCCCCGCTGCCCAGCCGTCGGCGAACGATTTTCGCGACACAAAGAAATGATTTACAAGCAAAAAGAAAGCAAGAGACAACGCTCAGGCCGCCCCCCTTCCTTTTAAAACCAAAGTAAGACACGGGGAGGAGTGGGGGCGTTGCTGATTGTCTGTTGCCGCTGTCGGTGCGTGTCTCCGCGCATATATCCCCTACAGAGAAGCTACTCCTACCTGAAGAGGAATAGTAACATCCATGTAAGGCCCCTCAAGATGCTCATCGACAATCACCCCTGAATGGCAACACATCGCAGACGCCGACTTCTGCCCTCAAAGAGGGGGTAGCCTTAACCGTGCGAGAAAGGAAACAGCGCAAAAAGCCTCCACATAAAAGCATGCAAACACACGGAGAAGCACATACACAGACAGACAGACAGAGAGAGAAGCACATACACACAGACAGACAGACAGATAGAGAGAGAGAGAGAAGCACATACACACAGACAGATACACAGAGAGAGAAGCACATACACACAGACAGATAGATAGAGAGAAGCACATACACACAGACAGATAGATGGAGAGAAGCACGTACACACAGACAGATAGACAGAGAGAGAGAGGAGCACACACACACAGACAGAGAGACAGAGAGAAGCACATACACACAGACAGATAGACAGAGAGAGAGAGAGAAGCACATACACACACAGAAACGCAACCAAACACATACACACGTACATACACATACGTAAACACATACACATACACAGAGAGATAGACAAACACACAGAGAGAGAGAGAGACAGCAGTGCGGCTGTTGACTCTTTCCCACACACCCAGATGATGGCCTTTCAGAAAGGCAGCACGCAGTCGCAGATTGCCGTAGAGCGCAGACACGATGATGACTCCTGCATGCAGCAACCCCAAGCACATACACACACACACACCCCACACGCTTGGTAGAGGGGAGAACACTTGAGGAAGCTACGAGTTTAAATAGGAGGTTCTGCTGCTGATGCTGCTGCTCAAGTCTTCAAATTATTGGCGTTTTCTCAGCCCTCGGTGCAAGCTCGCGCGCACCGTTCGATGCCTTCTCCCTACTGAGCTTTTGGGAATACTCAATTTGCTGCCCGCATGATGACAGAAGAAAACGCATGCCTCACCGTTGAAAGAGATGAGGCCTAGCAACTTTTGATGGCAGAAACACGTTGAAAAAACGACTGACACCCCTTGCCGTGCACTGCCCTTTCCCTCGCCTTTTTGAAGAGTCACCATTCAAGGAACGAATGCCTTTGAACGTCTGCCTACCATGTTTTGCAAGTCTCTGTTGGCGCGCAAACGTTGCAGCTCTTGCAGCTCAACTAGCTACACACAAATAGCAGCACAGCAGCCTTAAGCCTTTAGTCCCCGCTCTGTTTCAACATCCAAAGATTCGAAGCCTCGAGTCAGCATCACCACACGCTAGAGTGCTCGGCATGGAAGCAGTAGCAGCCTTAAGGCTGACGCTGTTTCTTAGCTCTCTCAAGAAAGAAGTCCGTCTGTATGCTGGGGTGTGTATTTCTGTGTTTGTGTATGTATTGGTGTGTGTTTGCGTGTTTGTATTGGTGCGTGGGTGTGCATGTATTGGTGTGTGTGTGTTTGCGTGTTTGCATTGGTGTGTATATTACTGTGTGTATGTATTGGTGTGTGTATTACTGTGTGTATGTATTGGTGTGTGTATTATTGTGTGTATGTATGTATATATGTATGTATGATTCTATGTTATATGTATGTATGTGTATTTGTGTAAGTGTATGTGTGCGTAGGTCTGAGTGTGTTGGAAGCAGAGAAGCTTCATGATGGCAAGTGATGCTGCGGAGGAACAAACGAAGGCGAGGCTTTCGTGTTTTTTGTCGTGCATGTGTGTATGTATGTGCATGTGTATGTATGTTTGCGTGTTTGTTTGTATTGGTGTGTGTCTGTGTTTGTATTGGTGTATGTATTGGTGCATTGGTGCATGTATTGGTGTGTGTGTGTTGGTGTGTGTGTGGTCTGTTTTTGTTGCGCACCTTCCTCTCCTGCTCTTCTTTGGTGTATTTGCGGTCTTTGATGTCTAGGCGTATCCTTTTCGCCTCGTCTGATAGCACGCGATATGCCTCTTGCACTTTGTGCAGCTCCTCAGCATCAGCAGCGCCGCTTGGCAGCCTATACCCGTCAAAATGCAAACAAGCAACACACTGCCTTCCTTACGAGCCAATTTAGGAAAGTCTTTCGCACGGCCCAGCATCCTCACGCCTAGCGAGCAAAAAATCCGTCCTTCCTCTCCATTCTCATAAACGCTTACTTATCCGGATGAAGCCTTTTGCACAAGGCGTAATATGCCCTCCTAATTTCTGACGGAGATGCGTTCGAAGGAACGCCCAGCAACGAGTAATACAAGTCTAATAGAAGCGCATACACATATACATATACATACACATATAATATACACAAACATTCACATAGGCAGAAGGCATACATGAATAGGCAACCTGAATAGCGTGGCGTTTACCAAGAGGAAACAGTGAGGCAGGAGAAGAAAAAGGAGGCCTTTCTACGAAGCGGCATTTTAGCGTAAATTCTTGACATCAGCCCGTGCGCGTAAGGCTGTGACCAGCAAAATGTGTGCCTCAACAATCTTAGGGCTTTAGAAGCTTACTCGAGGAGCGTTTTTCAGCAACGCCCATAGCCTCTAGCGGTGCTGCGTCTGCTGGCGAGAAGGCTGGAAGAGGTAATGACGCTGCTGCAGCTTCTTCTTCCTCTACATTTCCTTGAGCTTTACCTGCAGGTGCTGCCATGCCCTCCGCATTGCCAGGGATGGCATAGCTCGCTTGCATCGTTCTCGCCGTAACCAGCAGCCAACCACCAAATTCCAGGTGTACGTACACCACAACGCGCGCCGGCGCGCGCCCTTCGGGCGGAAGATGAACAAACCACCGCGTCGAGGCGACTGGCCGCCTCAAATTTGCGCCTAGAGGGTCCAAAATGCCGGAAAACAGTGTTTAGTGAATACCTCGAGACGTTTGCAAGCAGACCTTCAGAGATCGGCGGAGAAACACTGCGCTTTCAAAGGGTAGGAGTACAGGAGTTACAGTCAGTCACGCCTCCTTCCTCCTCTGTCTAGACAGACAACGGTCTTGCACTGCATGCAGTGGCCGCTCGCAGATCCAGCGTATTCAGGCGTATGCCGCCCGCCGCCTTCGTGCGAATCGTCGCATTTCAGCCTGTTTTTTCTTCCTTTTACTCGCATTGTTGTGCACACAGAAGGAAGAAGACACCAGCCGCTGCGGCAGGCACCGTGAGGTGGCTCTCATCGCGAATTTCTCATTGTTCAGAGAAGAAGGCCCCTCTGGGAGGCGCTTGCTTGCGGCCGCTTGTTCCGTGTTTTCTTTCCGAAATTGCACACGGCAAAATCCTTGACTGAAATACAATAAATGCTCCTCTTGCTTGGTGCTTGCTGTTTCCGCTCATCCCTCCTCGGTGCTGCTCCCAGAGCTCTCCCCTGCGGTCTGCTCGCCTTGCTATTCCTGCTGCTGCTGCAAACGCCATCAGCGTACACCGGAGAACTCTGGATCTCCTCTGCGACTGTGCTGCCGAGGCAGCGAGACAATACGGCGACAGAGGCAGCTGCTGCCTGCTGCTTGCCCGCTGGCAGGCTGCAGCTTCCCAGCAGCTTCGCTAACCGCCTCTGCAGCAAGCAGGAAGATGCGCTATTCTTGCAGTCCAGCGAAATGGATGTCTCAGTCTCTTGCCGCTGTGAACGCGGCTGAAATTCTCTTCGCCCCTTCGACTGCTCCAACGGCGGTGCCTCTGCGGATCTTCCCGATATCGGCCTCTTACACAGTTGCAAGGAGCTGCAGCAGCAAGACGAGCAGCAGCAGCAAGGCGAGCAGCAGCAGCAGGCTGTATAGGGTGCTCAGACTGCATGCGCGGGGGCGGCTTGCGCCCTCCCTGCCCAGCGGAGTAGAGCCATTTGCTGCTACTGGTGCGATTGCTGCTGTTGCTGCTGCTGACGCATGCAGCGCAACAACAGCAGCAGGGCAGAGAGCAGCCTACAGCAGCAGCAGCAATGGCACTAGCAGCAGCAGCACCCTGGGGAGCACTGCCAGGAGGAGCCCGTTAAGTCCAGCTAGCGACAGCAGCAGCGAAGATGGTGGGAGTGTCGCGTTTAGTAGCGAAAGAGACGGCAGCCTCGCTACTGAGTTTGAGGTCGTCAGGCAGTCTCACAAAAGCAGCACGTCTAAGAGCAGCAGCAGCGATGTTGACAGCAGCTTGGTGGATAGCTGGTTTGCGGCAATCGATGCGAACAGAGATGGACTGATCTCACAGAGAGAGTTCAGAACGTGGTATTGCTTGCACTTCGTTCCAACATTCCTGCAGCAGCAGCAACAGCAGATCCAAAGGAAGCTGCTCGACGCGAAGGCGGATGCAGCCTCTTCAAACGCCTCTCCTGCAGCAGCTCCTGCTGCTCAAAATGACGGTGCTGCTAACGACGATGCAAAGACGCTTGGCGAAGACAAAAAAACTGGCAGGGAAGCTTGCCAGCTATGCAATACCTCTGCTTTCGAGGGTTCGCAGCAGCACGTGCAGCAGCGCCTCCTGCTGCTTGAAGCAGAAGCAGCTGCCTTACGCGCTGCGCTGCAATCTGGACGCCCCCAACAGCCAATCAGCAGCAAACAGATGCTCTTAATAGTCTTGAGAAGCGCCATTCCTTACATAGGCTTCGGATTCATGGATAATTGGTATTATGATGCTGATGATGCTCATGCTACTGCCGATTTGATGCTGGCTATGCAGAATACCCCTACTATTCAATATCCTTCTCATGCTACTCTAAGGAATCTTCTCCTCCTTCTCTTGCTGATGCTGGATACGCAGTATACCCCTATTATTTAATATCCTTCTCATGCTACTCTAAGGAATCTTCTCCTCCTTCTCTTGCTGATGCTGGATACGCAGTATACCCCTACTATTTAATATCCTTCTCATGCTACTCTAAGGAATCTTCTCCTCCTTCTCTTGCTGATGCTGGATACGCAGTATACCCCTACTATTTAATATCCTTCTCATGCTACTCAAGGAATCTTCTCTTTCTCTTGCCGATGCTGCTGCTTAAACTGCTCCTGATTTCATGATGGCTATGCAGAATACCCCTACTATTTAATATCCTTCTTATGCTACTCTAAAGAATCTTCTCCTCCTTCTCTTGCTGATGCTGGATACGCAGTATACCCCTACTACGAAGTATCCTTCTTATACTACTCTAAGGAATCTTCTCCGCTTTCTCTTTCTGCTGCTGCTATGCATGCACAGCTTCCGGTGTCAGTGATTTTCAGCCGTCCCTTAAGCGTCAGTGTTCATAAGGGGAGTGCAACAACAGCAATACGAGAAGACGAAGGCTGGTGCATTTAGCACCAGCAAAGCTGCAAGGGTACAATTTTCTGTGTTTGCTGTTGTTTTTGCAGTCTCATGCTTCTGTGTGGCGAGATCATCGATCTGCAACTTGGCGTCGCCTTAGGGCTCTCCACCTTAGCGGTATGTCTCAAGGGGTAAATGTATTTGCGAGACAGGCTGGCTTTTCGTTCTGTCTATCTTGCTGTATGCTTCTATATGTGTGTCTGTCTTTTGCTCTCTCTATCTGTCTGTCGAGCTGTCTTTTGCTCTCTCTATCTGTCTGTCGAGCTGTCTTTTGCTCTCTCTATCTATCTGTCTTTCGCTCGCTCTATCTGTCGATCTGTTTTTCGATTGCTGTCTCTATCTTTCAGTGTCTGTTAAAACTAATTTTGTATTTCCACGTTTGCTCTTCTTGACGGCGCGGGCGCTGGCAGTCAGCCATGCGCTTTGACTGCAGCAGCGGCACGATGCATGCATGCATTTCACCCTCTTTCTTACCCTCAGCTCCTGCCTTTGCGTGACGCGTGTGTCTGACTGTGCATCCGCAGGCAGCTGGACTTGGAAATCTTGTGAGCTGCGCTTCAGGCGTTGTGACAGGGGGCTTTATTGAGCGATTCGTATATCGATTCAAATGTAAGTCCTTCAACGCGCTATAGGAGGGGGGAAATCGGCAGATAAAGAATAATGAGAACTCCTCCAGGACGACCTGTTGCCTGTCTTGTTCATCAACTGCCTGCGATTTGTTTCGTAACGCTAGCAAAACTGTGGAGGCTCCAGCGAGCTGCCAACGAATGCTTTGGGGGATGTCTTGTGCTCAGCAGCTTTTCTCCGAAAAGCACATATATTGATGGACATAAATATCTATATTTATATGTATATATATCTCCGAAAAGCACATATATTGCTGTGTATAAATATCTGTATTCATATGTATATACACACTGCTCCTCGCGAGCGTGGTGGTAGTTCTCTGCACCGAGGGAGCACCCGCGTGTTTCTCGCTGCAGCAGCTTACACACACAGAAAACATGCGAGGCTACCGATCATCGCTGTCTCTGGCATTGTGCATCTTTGTGTGTCTGTACAGGGCCTCCCACAGCACGTCTCTCTCCGCAGCAGGCGGAAACAAGTGCTGCTCGCAACGCTCACCTTGTTGGCTCAGTGGTAGGCTTTTAAGGGAACGTGAGGGACTGGGGGGAAGAGCAGCAGGAGGAGGAAATGGGGAGTTTTGTGTATATGTGTCTACAAGTTGTGTATGTGTAGATCTCTATGTGTTGATATATGTTGCAGATTTTTTTTCATGTGTATCTGTTGTGTATGTGTGCAAGTTCTCCGTCTCACCGCGTGTTTGTTTGTTTGTGTCTGTGTGTATGCATGTTTGTTTGTTTGTTTGTCTGTATGACTTCTGCGATGGAGTGCGTTTGTGAGTTTTCTGTGGAGGCTGTAGCGTGGCCTTTAAGGGTCGTTGTTAGCAGCGTCTTGTTTTGTCTGCTGTGGAGGCAGAAGGATGCGGGGTGCGAGGCAGTTTGTGGTGATTCGGCTTCTGCGGTGTGTGTGTGTGTGTCCATGTGATTTTGTCAGTTGGGCATATGCATAGGGTGTATTTTGGGACTGTTTCCTTTGCTGGTGATGCCACAAAGGGCGAGAGATTGCCGGACTGCCGAGGAGCGAGACTCCCCAAACACAACTCGTATCCAGGCAGCCGCTAGAGATGCTGGAGCTAGCGTCTGATCTTTAAGACGCGTTCGCTTTGTGCAGTCTAAGGGAGGGAGGAAGGCATCCCTTCCCATGAACGTGCAAGGAGGGGGAGGAGAGGGGGAATAGGGGACCCTGCACTGTCTATGGCGAGTGCGGAGAAGGGGGGTGGGAAGAAAAGCTCATGCACCAGCGAAACATTCCTTGGCTCTTGCTGCTTTCGTCATGATCTCGACGCTACGGCTGTGCAGACTGCTTGGTCTACGCAGCTGTCTACACAGCCCGAGGCGTCGATGCGGCTCCTTTGGCCTTTTCTTCATGCGTTTTCTTCCTTTTTTGACGCCTGGTGCTTGCTGCTTCTTGTTGAGATTAGGCTCGAACAGATGCTTGAGCTGATAGTTTTCCGCCCCTGCTTGCCTGTTCCTTACCGTGAGGTAGATGCGGCCTGCCTCTCTCCGCAGAGGCGAAAAAAACGATGTAGGAGCGATGAGGAGGGGAAGACTGCGGGGTAAGGGGGAGTGAGTGCAAGGTGTAGGAGTAGGCAGCAGCGCAAGTGAGCGCTTGTGTCTGTTTCAAGAACTCCTCAGTACCCCATGACACGCACTGAATGAGATCATATTCCCATGGCGATTACGAGCAACAGAGACTTGTTGAGGCTATTGCAGGCGTAAGCAACAATGACTGAGAAGGAAGAACACCTAGCGCACGCAAAGGAATAATGTAAATAAACGGATGGATCGAGAGGAGGCGTGGTACATAATGCTAGGTGACGACTTGTTTGCATCTACTGGAGGACTGTATTTAGTGCGTCTAGTGTACCTGTAGGAGAGTGTCTTAATTTTCAGGCAAAGCCAGTAGTCTAAATAGTCAGAGGGAATTGCGTGAAGGCTAGCAAATGTGGCCTTCGAAAAACTAAAGTTGAGTGCAGCGGAGAAATGCAACTGTGGCAGCAATGAAACAACGTACAAAGACGCGAAACAGGTTGCAACTGCTGGGGAGAGCACCGCGAAGGCACGGAGAAGTAGATGGCAAGCGAAGAAATAAATAAACCAAAGGAGGAAGCCATGTGCAGTTACGCCAAAGGGAAGTAACTGTTACCCAGAAGGGGTCATCGACGCACATATGGTCCCCACGAAAAAAGCTCTGTCTGAGGACGTGAAGGTGCAACTCGCCGTAAAATACGGCAAATCACACGGCGGAGGCATTGCTTGCTTCTGCTGATGCAGTTCCTAAGGCCCCTTCATCATGCCTCCTCGTACAAAAGCGTCGAGGTTTCTGCTCTTACAGGCCTACACACGTCTCGGAATTCGTAGACTTTGTTCTCGCCGCTCCCTTTAACCTCTGAGGCTTAATGCACGAAATGAAACCGTCCATGGAAGCTAAATAGGACGTCCTGTTGCTGTGTATCCTTTTTTCCGCCCCCCAACTTCCATATGTAGTGTGTCTACGCGCCTAAAGTCCTTCACACCCTCCAACTTCTGGCAAGTTGATCTAACGCAGTGGTGTAGTACTCGAAGGACTGCCAGTGAACACCAGCACCAAAAGAGCAGAACAGTACAATACGCTGAGAGGTCATGACATTAAGGAGATACAGCAGGCAGCAACGTTTGAGGAGCATGTATGTATGCATTTGAACGTGTTCGAGAATTACGGGACAGCACCCCCAATGATATCCGTAGCTAAATTTTTTCAGGATTAAGGAAGAATCGCCCGCTTTTACTCTCTCGGAATGCGTTTCATTGACTGTTTCTTGTAAGTAAGAGCCAAGCGCAAGTCTTTAAGCGGCTCCAATGCCCGCCGAGATGGCGGCTTCTCTGCTTCGGCGCCCTCTAGCAGCTGGGACGTCAATCGGATCCAGTTTTCCCCGCTTTTCAAGCACCTTGAATGTTTATCAAATAACTATTGCGGACTGTTCGAGGAATGGTTTGGAGTGCGGACAGTCGCTGCCGTTTTGTATGTGTGCGTTCACTGCATCATTGGGTAGCCAGCCACTCAGCGTGCAGGCTCTCCTTGGGCTTATTTGAAGACAACGTGGTTTTGCACTTTAAACTTTCTGGCTAGCCGCTAGCCCTCATGGGTCAGCCACAACTCCCTGTGGACATAGGGGGTGTACACCTAGAACTTTTATGGGGTCGTGGCGCTGTAATGTGTTAGGTGATCGAAGAAAGGGAACTTTTTACGGCACTACTGCTCCTGTTTGAAGCTCTGTAGACAGACTACGTCCGTGAAGTGTCACTAGAGGGGTTGACACCGCAACGCCAAGTACCTCCAGCTAGAGGGTTTCTTGCTGAAGCACAGGGCGACTGGTGGACAAGAGACCTCTTTTGCGTGCTTCGATTCATCACTCACGCAGAAAAACGGACTGAGAATTTTCCCTGCACCCTAAGAGAGCCACAGATCCAAGGCGTGGATAAGCGCGCAGCGAAGCTTGCAGAGGCGCTCGGCAGTCGTCAGCGTGGAGCAAGATTCGAGCACGTTCTCTGCGCATACAAATGCCTGAACCGTGCAGGAATCGCTTGGTCTTGTCACTAGGGTGTGCACTTTCCCGCTGTACCGCTCAAAAAATCATGAAACTCTTCGCTTCGGCGCATGCGCTGGCGGCATGCGAGCGCCTTGATGAACTCGCCATCGGGGCTTTCGGCGCGCGCTAGTTTCCGGCCCGTCTGCTGCAAATTTGAACGTGTTTTCTTCACATTTTTCATGCGTATTTTGGTCACTTGCTGGGAGAAGCAGCACTGCACAGACTGCCGCCGAGTGGCAGCAACGCACCCGTTCCACCCCTCCAGGAGTACAATACAGCCCTTGAGGCTTTCTCCTGCTTTTGCGCGTTGGCTGCTGGACACTTGTGGCTTTAAGCTGAGAAAAAACGTTGGTGCAAGCGGCGCCAGGAGCGCTCGCGCAGTCTCTCTCTCTCGTTTCTTAGACCGCAGTCCCTCTCTCCCTTGTTACTTCGACTCATCCCTCGCAACGCTACGCCTCTTTCAGGCTGGCTAGAGGTGTGGCGGCTCTGTCACTTACGGCGCTCGTCTCCCCCGCTGCGGTTCACAATATGACGCAAAAGAAGCGCGAACTCGTGAGAAAGAAAGCCTCCTGAAAAAGGCCGATCGTCTGCACTGTGATCGGCGCGGAAGAAGATCCTGTTGTCTCCTGTTTTTTTGACACCCTCATGGCCGCTGACTACCACCCCCGCTGCACTGGAGTGCAGCTTCTTTCCCTCCTTCCCCATTGTTCCCCCGTCTTCTCAGTCCGCTTCTTGCGGTGGATGCACTTGTGCGAGCGCTTCCTTTTGCCTCATAACTGTCTGAAGTGTTCAGCCGTGTTTGTTCGCAGGGAAGCGACTCCTCCGACGAGGATACGCTGCCCTTGGGAGCCAAGCGCTTCAAGCAGTGCAAAGTTGAGCCCGAAGCCGCTGTTGCGGTTTCGGCTGCAGGTGCCGCCGAAGGAGGCGAGCCTGCTAAGGTCGAGAACGGTGATTCGAAATTCCTGGTGAAAGAGGCCGTGAGCTGCAGCAGCAGTACAACCACTACCACGGGCAGTTGCAGCACCAACGGCAGAGCAGACGACTCAGCAGGAGCTGCACAGGGCAGCACTGCCAGGGGAGTTGCAGTGAAGGGCTCTTTGGCCGCTGCTCTGAGCAACGTAAAAACGGATGTCAAGGATGGAGAAATGCCGAAGGCAGCCGCAGCAGGCACTGCAACGGGAATATCACGGCCGTCAGCTTCTCCTTCACCTGTCGGCGCTCGCCGCAGGAACAAGTATACGAAGACGGAAGAGAACTTTGAGCCGATTTCCCGATGGTGGGAGAAAGATCTTTCGCAACTTGAAAACAACGTCGTTCAGGTAAGGAGACAAGCCTCCGGAGGATGACGGTGTCTGCGGTGTATGTACACTCTCGGAGAGGGGAAGGGCGGGCAGGCAGGGAGAGAACTGTGCTCTGGGGGTTACGGTTTTGGATGTACAATCTGCTGTCATGAGTTTTGGGTGGCTTGGCAAGTTGGGGTTGCTGGGTTCTTCAGTGGCAATATCTTGAACACAACGGCATGATTTTTGCGCCTCCTTACGAGCCGCACGGCATCGGCATCAAATACAAAGGCCAGGAGGTTTCGCTTCCGCCGGAGGCGGAGGAAGTCGCAAACTTTTGGTCAGTCAGGTTTAAGTTTCGTAGGCGCTTTCATTTCTCAGGGCAGTGGAGTGAGGGTGGGGTGCGATCTTTGGGGTGTACGTGTAGCTGAGGGCTCACGGGCGAGGGTTTTTTAGGCGAAGTCGGTAGGGGGGAGGGTAAGTGCAGAAAAATCTGCAATTTGAGGTTTTTCATGCATGTGTAAGTGTGTTTGCACAGGTGCGGCGTCCTAGAGAGCGACTATGCGACAAAGATGCGCTTCGTCAAGAATTTTTGGCGGGCGTTTCTCTCCAAGTTGCCAGCTGATCACTTGATCAAACAAGACCCCAAGCACGCGACTGTTCGCTTGGTGGACACGGAGGCTGACGGTGGTGCCGCTGCTGCTGCTGGCGAAAATTCCGCTGCTGCTGCAGCGGCTGCAAGAGCGCCCGCGGCAGCAGCAGCTGAGGCGTGTGGTTTTGAGGCATGCGACTTTTCAAAGATAAAGCAGCACCTCGACACGCTGAAGGAGGCCAAGAAAAATCTGTCCAAAGAGGAGAAGGAGGCGAGTCTATTTGCACGGCGCAGTGTGCCTGGGGGTGTGGTTAGGTGGCAAAGTGACCTTCTCGGAGAAGGCTGGGGGCGTCGTTTCGCACAACGCACACGCGCAAGATTTGGCGAACAGCTTGTGCCTGCTGCAAGCTCCAGCGGCTCGGCTGATTTCGGATGAGGCCTCGTGGCTGGTTGTCGTTCCTCAGGCACTGAAAGCGCAGAAGGATGCCGAGGCAGCGCCCTTCGCCTTTGCTCTCGTGGACTGGCTGCGAGAGAAAGTTGGCAATTGCAAGGCTGAGCCTCCAGGTCTTTTCCGAGGTCGCGGCGAGCACCCTAAACAGGGCATGCTGAAGGTAGCGTCTTGAATTGCCACCCCCCAACTGCAAGCAGCTCGGAGCTGGGCGTGCGCCTTCTGCCCTGCAATGCAGGATGGCCAACACACAGGATAGCCAACACACAGGATAGCCAACACTCGGCTTTCATCGTGGAAGGTGCAATCGTCTGCCTGGGAGCCTCGCGTTGTCAACGAAACCGTTTTTCAGCGCGCGGAGCTGTCGCTCGCAGCTCTCTCTGCACGTTGCGTCTGTGTCGTCCGCAGCGCCGCATCTTCCCAGAAGACGTCATTCTAAATTTGGGAGAAGATGCTCCGGTTCCCCGCGCTCCTGACATGCCTGGGCACTGCTGGAAGGATATTGCACACGATTGCAGAGTCACTTGGCTCGCCTTCTACAGAGACTCCATCAACGACCAGGTCGGTCCCCGCATTTCAAATAGGTCGTGCTGTGTGCGTCAAAAAGTGGATAGGGCCTTGCTGTGCGTCTTCGTGTTCAACAGCAACATGTGTGCACCAGGGGGCATGAGGCCTCTCTGATTGTACCGCTAACCTTTGGTCGCTAGCTGCACGCACCGCATCTCATGATCAGAACTCTAATATACGCCGCTTTCCCGCTTTCTAGCGTCAAACTAGCTCCGCCAAGGAGCCCAAGACTCATGCTGGCTAACCCTGCAGTGCACCCCAACCTGAGGATACACCGCAATTCGTGCGCCTGCAGGTCAAGTACATGTACTTGGCAGCACAGTCGGGTTTCAAGGGTCAACAGGACTTTCTAAAATACGAAAAAGCGCGCCGACTGAAGCACTATGTCGTGAAGATCAGAGAAGATTACTACAAAAAGATGCGGAGTGCAGACCCGCTGGATCGGCAGCTCGGCACTGCCACGTATCTCATCGATTTCCTTGCCCTTCGTGTGGGCGGAGAGAAGGACACAGGTGAAGAGGCAACTTATTGCGTTCAACCAGTTTTATAGTGCGAGATGGCCAAATATAGTAGTAGGCCTTTGAGTGCTGGTCTTAGTCCTGTACCCAACGGGCAAGGCGCTACATAGAGGAAAACTCCACTGTATATGCGTTTTTGCCTCTCTGTCCTGCCGTCTCACCGCTTTAGGCGCTCTTCGCATAGTTTTGCCTGCTGCATCGATGCTGCTTTGTTGGTTGTTTGACGCCAGCATGCCGCTGGGGTGTGAAGGTGTCGACGTCTCGAGTGCGGTTTGAGGTTTGCAGACGAGGAGGCTGACACCGTGGGCTGCTGCAGTCTACGGGTTGAACACACGACGCTGAACAGCGAAACGGAAGAAGTTACGTTTGACTTTCTTGGAAAAGATTCCATCCGATACTTCAACACCGTTAAAGTGCGTAATTCAAATTTCAAGCACCTCGAAGCGATAGCACGTCCAAGAACTGCGGGGAAAGTGGCTCGCATCCGCTAAGGCCGGTGCTGCAGAGCATTTCTAACGGGAAGGAGCAAAGCGCTTTTGCTGCTCTCGTTATCTCGTTCTGCTTTCAAATGTGTGCACGTGTGAGCTTGACCTCAATCCGCGGATTCTGCTTTGGCTGCATTGCATGTTGCAGATAGATTCGCAAGCCTTCAAGAACTTGGTAGGGTTTTGCCGCGGGAAAAAGCCAGAGGAAGATGTCTTCGATCGCATTAATGTGCGTACTTCAGTTTGGCCCTCTTGCATTCAAATAAAGCGGCGGCTGTCTTCTTGGGTTGCGCAGTTGCGCGCATGTCATGCGAGCTGCCTTTCAGCAGGCTTAAAGGGTCTGGTGTGCGTGTTTTGGGTGTGCTGGATGTGTGTGGTTCGCCAGAGCACTTCGCTGAACAATCACCTGAAGCAGCTGATGCCAGGCCTTAGTGCGAAGATGTTTCGCACGTACAATGCCAGCATCACTTTGCAGCAAGAGCTGCAAAAGCTGCAGTAAGTGCATGCGCGTTTCCTGAAGACCGGTCGATTAGCCCTTGGCTCCACAACTCGTAGCCGAGGCGGCCTTGGGTTAAAACGAGGGTGAAAGGAGTTTTTTTGTTTGTTTTTTGAGGTGCGAGCTGCATCAGCTTCAAGCGTATTTTGCAACCGCAGTGCCGACGGCATCCCCGCGCGTGCATGCGCTCGCTCAAGAATTCAGGATAAACCTGGTCGGTGCTGTGCATGCAGGCCGACATTGCGAAAGTTCAAGGAGGAAGTCGAGACGGAGCACCAGAAGAAGATGAGCAAGGTGAAGGGAAAAAAGACGGTCAAGGCAGAACAGGAGGCCGCAGTAGCTGTTGCTGCAGCGGTAGCAACAACAACTTCGGATGATGATGAAGACGTGCCGCTAGGTTGCATCAGCGCGAAAAAGGAAAAGAAAGTTGCCGTTTGCACCACGACTAAAGAGCCAGCAGAGAGAGAGGGGCCAGCGACAAATGAGACCCCCGTCTTGGACGTTAATCTCTCTGACGTCAATCAGCTCGTGCAGTTTTACAATGACGCAAACCGGTGCAAGATGCATACCCGAGAACGGCCTTCCTGTGCTTTTGTATGCCCTACGTCGGCTTTGTCGAGGAGTGGCGTTTCTAATGCGCTTTCCTCTTTCGCTTTGGTGTTTGTTTGTGCAGAGCCGTTGCAATTCTTTGCAACCACCAGCGCTCCGTCCCGAAACAACATGCGGCCTCCATGGCACGATTAGAGCATCAGCTGCAAGCCATCGAAGAGGACCTTCGCGAGCTGAAGGCCTTTCAGCAGCACCTCAAGAAAAACAAAGGAGCAGCCAAAGGCTTCAAGTTTCACTCCGACTTTGTTGTGCGCGCTTTATATCACGCAGGCACACGTACATCAGGCAGCAGCAGGCCTCCTGAGCAAACGCCTTTCCTAGCGTGCTAGCAGAACCTGCTGAGTGTGGAGCTTTTGCTCATGCGGGTCAAGACGATCTGAATGCTTGCGAGTGCCTCAGAGTCTGAAAGGAGAGCCGCGGAAATCTGTAGTGAGAGACGGGATGAGGGAAGAAGCGGTCACCAAGAAGATTGCACAAGTAGAGTACGTGCTCGCAATGCCAGCTTCAGCCGTGGGGTATTCGGGCACTATACGCATTCGTAGTGTCTGGGAGATGAGCGTTCGACCCCTGCTGGCTTGTTGGCGATTGCGGCGGCATGTTCTTTGGGGGTGATCTAGTCTTGCATTTCTTGCGGATTGGGTGCTAAGTGTCTCACTGGTCGCAAGCTGCCTGCCATGCAGTTTCACGCCCTTTCCCCTCTCTCCCGCAATTTCCTGTAGCGGCCGCAGGGGTTTCGGCTGTACCGGGTGCAGCTTTTTCTGGCGGGTGCGTGTTCGCTGCTTGCTGCAGGAAGAAGAAACAGAGCCACTTGGTGCGGATGAGGATGAAAGACGATAACAAGACTGTAGCCTTGGGGACGTCTAAGATCAACTACATGGACCCTCGTATCACGGTGGCATTTTGCAAGCAATATGAGCTGCCTATCGAGAAGGTGTTTAACAAGGTAAAACGATGCATGCGCATGACGTTACACCGGGCCCCCCTACTGCGTTCATGAGCACTTCCTCTACCATTGGAGTTCCTAGATTTGTTTTATCACGCAGTTTTCACCTTTGAAACAAGCAAACGGGGAACCGCACAGCCACCGTCCCTTTCGCAGTGGGAGCAGCATCCATATTTTCAGATGCACATGTCGATGCTGACGGCCCCTTCTGAGAGGTTGCCTCCCGTCAACAATGTTTCACATCATTCTAGGATATCATTAGAGGAACAAATTCTATGAATTTTATCCGAGAGAGCACTACAGAGGACAAAGTTGACGAGTCGTGTATGTGTGTCTGTGTGGCGTTTGGGATGCCACTGTTCTGCAGAGCTTGCGCCTCAAGTTCCCCTGGGCCATGTTCGCTCCTTCGAATTTCATTTTTTAAGGGGTTCTGCAGAACCAATAGTTACATTAGAGGTTTGCGCGCTTTGTATGAGTGAGCACACACCTGAACCCGCGCATCCGGCGGTGCTTTCCGGCAATCGCTCCCTGCCTTAAACTGGAACGCGAGCTCAAACGCGTGCATATTATGGGCATGCGGGAGGCATCCTCGCACCTCGAAGCATATTGAAAATAGGCCTTTATCAGGGTTGCTTCTTGCCTCTGGGATGGCCTCTTGGCGAGAAGGTGCGAACCCCGGGAACCTGCAATGAAACTTTTAACAGAGGACTGGCGGTTCCCTTGGGCGACGCAAAGTTTGAAGCTAGCACAAAGCGGTTTATTTCCGATTTCCGCGAAACTTGCTACTGCTCTGTGGTATGTCTTATGGTTTAAAGCATATGGCTTTTGGAGGGCCTAGTTACTTGGTAGCACTCAAATGCGTGGATTTTTGCTCTATGATGTCGCGGCCGGCTCAGGACTTACGCCGCTAGCTGGGCTATCTCAGTTTAGAGAAGTAAGAACTAGAAAAAAGAAAACGTTCGCCATTCGAAAAGAGAAGCACGTTTGGCGTGCATGCATGATCAAATGCACATCCCATAGGTTTCGGGTACGCAGCAACTTATCTGACATTGGGTTATCCTCAAAAGGCAGTCACACGGCGCAGATAATCGCCGAAATGGAGACGTAAAAGAGAGCGACAGGATATATAACAAGAAGCTTCTTCTTTTCGTCTATCAGCGTTCGCATAAAGGCGCTCGCTACTCGTGTCGCCCATGCCAATGCTGGAATAACTGTGACCAACCTATATCCTCGAGGGGCGTGGAGGAAGGAAAGATTTATTGCTGCTGCAACGGTTAGAGGGAAAAGGCAATAACCTAGGACGCAGACAGATTGGAAGAAGGAGAGACGGGATCCAAGCAGCTGGGCGTTGAGTGTCACTATCGAGGAACCAGCAATCACAAACATGTATACCAGGGCAAACGCAAACCGTCGTTGTTTCTGTATTTCGATCGAGCTGCCACCGATGCCTCCATTCGTTGAAAAGTATAGTAAAAGAGAAAGCGCTACACAAAGGACAAGGGGGCCCCAAAGCTCCCAGTCTCTCAGTCCGGCGCCTGCGTCGTGAATCGACTTCGGTTTGAGCACGTACAACATTTTCTCCCATACGCTTCTCAGATCCCGCATGATTGTCTGGATGACAGGCTCATCCAAAGAAATACTAGAATCAGAAGCAGGTACGTACGTTTCTCCCCGGTGATCCAGGGAATGCGTCGGCTGCATTTCCCCCATCATTGTTCTCACCCGAATATGAAAGCTAAGGAGGGCAAAAAGAAATGTGCAGGACGCCGACAGGCCGATTAGGCACGAAGAATATGTGGAATGCTCGTTATAGAGGAAAAGAAGAGGTGAAGATCACATGCGATGATCTCTTGGATATAAGAAGGAAATTAAAATGACAGATTGGCGGATTCGAAATTCCTGAGGTGTATGTGCACCTCGGTTAAAGGATACAGTCCATCAGGAAACCAAGTAAACGGATTGCGGTAGGGTCTTCCCTTCAACATGGAAAACAACGAGATTTCATTCCGCCAAATGATCAACGAAGCAGTGCAATCGTGTCTGATTGTGTGTGAGCTTTCCGTATTGTGGCTACAGTAGGTACAAAAATGTAAACATACTGTCCCTTTGGAGGTGAGGAATAATTTTTTCTGTGCGTTGATCCATCGTGTCTGCTAATTCCTCTTTGGGGGCTGCATGCAGCACATTCGCCGCCTGATAGCCTGAATGAAAGCAACTGCTAAGAAATAAATTTTTAAAATGTGTTCCTTCATAAAACGCAAATAGATGCTGTATTGGACACTACAGCCTACTTTCTCACTATGTGGTGTAGACGTTCAGAAGCTTAAATGTTGTTGTGACTTATAGCGATGAAGCTTTGAGCTGATATTGCACGAGAACATGTTTTGCGTGGTTGTTAATTTTTGAATCACTTCAAAAGAGGCATAGCAAGCGAATTCCAGTAGTTATTGGGAGTGAAGGTTCAATCACTCAGATTCTATCACAACGGTACAGTCCGGGGCTCGTTCACCCTGTTCAATGCAGCGCGAGGGTATCCCAATGCAATAAGAATGAGCGTTAAGTGCGTTTGCACCAGTTTACTCTGTGGTCCCACAAACTACTCGCCAGGCTACCCAGGCGGTGTCGCCACCTTACCCTTGCTCTCTGTTGTTGCCTCGTGCGTGGAGCCCTCTGTAATAATGGCGAGGAGGCGAGCAATACTTCTATGAAGATACCTTGCCCCGTTCTGCTAGGTTTTGGGTTGCTGAGCAAGCTCTTTTGGAGGATTTAGCGGTGCTCCAGTTATGCTCGTACACTTGTATCCAGCAGAATTCCCTGTAGCTAGTCTTTGGTTCACATATCATTGTCCAATCCAGAGACCGCCTTTTAAAACCTTTTGCTGTTTGGTGTTGCAGTGCTCCACTGTGTGCAGTGGCCACTGTGTGTACATACGGTTATCTCTGGCAACGCGTCTAAAGTTCCCCTAGAGCGGTCTCTTGAAAGGCGCGTAGTCCTTCAGCCCACGCGCATTCATGGTGTTTCGCTCCAACACAACTGGGTGTGCTAAGCAAGCGGACTCGTTGTAGCGGTATTCAGACCACAGAGTGAGTAGCCGTCTAGGACAGGCATGCGTGGAACCCCCGTTAACCTGCTTTACCGTTGCAATCCGGCACTTTCCTGCATCTCGTTACCCTCCTCCCTGCCGATGTTGCCTAACCCGATACTTTTCTAGCTAGCCTCTCCCCCTGCTTGCTTCCCTGCCAGTTTGTGTGCTCGTGAGTGGGTTCACGCTTCTTGATCAAACCACAGCGTGCAAAAGCAGTGACAGGAGTGTGACTTTAAACCCTTAAATTCTCTGAGACATAGCAGCAGCTCTCGAGTTTCTGCACGGCCATTGCTCCCTCGGCAACGCCTGACGGCGCGCAGTTCGCGATTTCAGAATTTGGGGGGTTTGGCTGCAGAGCGCCTCTCGAGTTCTCCCTGGACCGCTTTCCAGCCGACGGAGAAGACCATGCCCTACAACAACAAGCCCCCACACAAGCGCAACCCCTAGGTTCTACACTTTCATTTCTGCAGAGGGTTTGAGGAACATTATTAATAGGCGTACTTGCAAAGCATTCGTGAGGATACGGGTGCCCAGTCCTCTGAAGAACAGTCCCACGACGCCATCCTTCCCGATAACCTCGCGAAGCGTCTCCATGTACGTTAGCGGTGCCTGAAAACGACAACAGTCCCCCAGGCTTCGCTGCCCTTTACGCGTTCATCAATGACGCCAGCCAAACAACCTCAACAGCCCGCAGGCTGCATGCTGTCGGTCCGCAGTAATAGACGCGGCACGAGAGAAAGCACGAGAAGAAGGTCTTGGGGAGAGGCGAGCAGGGAGAGTGCTGGCATGCGCGCGCATGCATGAACATGGGTGAATGTGTGTGTGTATATATATTCGTGAGCCGGTGCACATATATAATATGGATGTGGATACATACATACATACATACATGTATGACGGTCCACAGATAGGCATGCACCAAAAACAGCCAGACGGACTCTGCGAGGGCTGTGCCTAAAGTGGCAGAGCAGGAGTTTGAAGCCTTCGAGGGAGGGAAGTGCAAAAAAGTGCATGGCAGAAACTGCCTGAAGAGAGTTTGCGGCTTTTCTTGGGGAGGAGAAGGGGGAGGGCCGGAATGACACAAGACAAGCAAGCGATGCAGAAAGGCGTGCACCCCTCCGCGAAGGCGGCTCCCTTACTGCGGCAGTTTGTTTTGTTGTCTTCAGCACGCGAATGGAGTTCGAGCAAGTGTCACTAATGACGCTGCTGCAGAATCCGATGAGAGCATAGCGAACATGATTGCCGTACAGGAAGTCAAATTGGGGGAGCGTTGCAGACAGATAGTTGTGTGAGAAAAACCACGGGTAATGCCCGACCCACGTCGCCCCCATCGCCGCAACGGAGCCGTGGTACAGCTTTGTAATGCCGTGCGTGCGAACTGCATGCATGCATATATATACACAAGCATGTATTTGTGTATGTGCATTCACACATGCATGCATGTATATATACACAAGCATGCATGTATACACAAGTGTGCATGCATATATATATGTATACAAGCATGCATGCACATATATATACACAAGCATGTATTTTGTGTATGTGCATTCACACATGCATGCATGTATATATATACACAAGCATGCATGTATACACAAGTGTGCATGCATATATATATGTATACAAGCATGCATGCACATATATATACACAAGCACGCACGCATATACAGAAGTGTGCACACACCAGGTATGACGGAAAAGCGTGGCGAGACAGGGAAAGGGTGAAGCAGCAGTAAGACAAAGCAGAGCACACGCGAACAAGGAGACACGAAAGGAAGAAGCACCGGCAGAAGCGTAGACCTTAAGACCTCGAATCTCCGGAAAGATGTCGCAGGGGGCGAAGACGCAGAAATACAGATTTCCGTAAATCTAGTCATCAGTGAAAGAGCAAAAAGGAGAGTAAGAGAGAGAGAAAGAGAGTGAGCGCGTGCATGCATGCGTGCGTGAGTATGTGCATGTATGTATGTGTATGTATGTATGTGTGTATGTATATGTGTATACGTATGTGTATGTATATGTGTATATGTATATGTGTATACATATGTATATGTGTATGTGTGTGTACATGTGTATGTACGTACATGTGTATGTATATGGGTATGTGTATACGTATGTGTATGTGTATATGTATGTACATGGGTATGTATATTTGTATATGTATGTATATTTGTATATGTATGTATGAGTATATGTATGTACATGTGTATGTATGTACATGTGTATGTATATGTGTATACGTATGTGTATGTATATGTGTATACGTATGTGTATGTATATGTATATGTATGTACATGTGTATGTATATGTGTATACGTATGTGTATGTGTATACGTATGTGTATGTGTATACGTATGTGTATGTGTATATGTATGTACATGTGTATGTACATGTGTATGTGTATGTATATGTGTATGTGTATGTATATGTATATGTATATGTGCATGTACATGTGTATGTATGTATGTATATGTGTGTGAAGATCACAGTAGGGGGCCCCTGAGGCATCAAGGCGTCTTCTACAGGAGGCGACGCATTCTACTAGGGGCCCCCCCCTTCCCTCTACCCGTGAGAACGCAGGTGCACGACAAAGAGAAGAAGAAGCACGAAGCATTCATGGCTTGCGCAGCGGCAGTGCAGTGATAGGGCAGAGAGTTTGATGGCGTTTAGAGAGGTTTGCTTTTGCAGCCTCTTGGGTGCTGCGTGGAGGTGTGTGTTTCTTGCCGGGGAGAAAGAGGAACGACAGAGGAGAGAGAGAAATGCGCGTTGCGTGAATGTGTGTTGCGTGGATTATCAGCCTGCAGCTGTGCAATAGGGCTGTTTAGAGGATGTTGGGAGATTTGCCTTTCTGCGTAAGTTGCTTAAGGCCGTCGCCGCCTTCGACTTGTTTGGTAGTTTTCCATGCTGCGAACAAGAAGCAGCCAGCAGCAGAATCTCCCGTGCCGCGAGGGGTGAGTGCGACAAACTTCGAGGGGAGAAAGGAGCAGGGAAGCCTCCACAGTTGTGTTGTTTGCCACTACGTGTGTGTGTGGCGCAAGACGCTACGAACGCCATCGCTATATGCCCCTTCGTGAAGGCTGGCACGCATACCGTCAATCGGCATGAGAAACAGTCTCCAGCAGGCTGCTCCACAAGACGCAAGTGCCGTCTTCAACCCCACTGGCAAGTCTCGCGTTCGCTCGTTCGCGTCGAGGAGGGTCAAGACACCCACGTTGCTGGCTGTGTCGCCAAATCGACTGAGCGGCGATTGCAGCAGTGCCGGCAAGAGGCCTCTATAAAAGCGAGGAACGCCCCCTGCACACATCACACAGCAATTACCTCAGAAAACATGCAGCACATTCCGCGCACGAAAGGTCTAGGCAGAGAGACAAGCAGATTGACCATTCCTGACATATTTACTGACTACTGCTCACAGATTCATTGACAGATTGACTTTTCGAGCCAGATTGATTGACACATTGACTGCCACATTGACTGCCAGATTGACTGCCAGATTGATTGACACATTGACTGCCAGATTGACTGCCAGATTGATTGATACATTGACTGCCAGATTGACTGCCAGTGAGGCTGTCTGCCAGGCTGTCTGCGAGACGGCGAGATACGCTGCGAGATGCAGCAGGGGTACAGCGGTTCTTCCGTGTGAGTGAATGGCAGGTGCTTGCGACAGTGTTTGGCTAGCAGCGGCGGCATAAGGGAGGAGCCACTTGTTGCGGGAACGGTTCGAAGAATTGAATGCTGCTGCAAGCGAGGGGTTGTGAGGTCAGGCCTGCGCTTGCTCTGTGCGCGCGGCGCTCCCCGAAGGCGGGTTGGGCTGGAGGGGGTGATCGTGGCAAAGGTTCAGAGTTTGAATTTACCCTCTTTCCAGAGAGTCTTGACGACGTGAGTCGTAGAGCCGCCGTGGCGGTACTGATAGTTCATGGTAGTCCGCAGCCACATGAAAGACAAGACATTGATAACCTGAGCAGAGGCTCCTGCAAGGCCGCCCTTGAAGGCTTGCGACTTGGCGTGAGACAGCAGGATCCACACATCCTGCGGAGGCTGCCGGCTGCTGCTGCTGCTGTTGTTCTTCTTCCAGTTGGGGTCACTGGTGCTGGCCGGAGAAGCTGCTTTGCTGGTAGCTTCGGAAGGCGGCGAAGAGTGGGTAGAAGACATTGCGCGCAGAAAGCTACGTGCGGCGTTCCGGTTGGGGTGGATTTGGTGGGAAGGATTGCAGCCTCGGCTTTTGGGTGCTCGTCTTTTTGCGCAAACAGAGCCGTTTGGACCTAGGGATGTAGAGAAAGAAGCTAATGTCGAGGGGTTTCACAGGCTGCGCTTCATGCTTAACGCGAAGGGTCGCTTGATCCTCTGCGTGGACTGCACTCTGCCTGCACGGCGTGGGAAGCTCTACCGATTGGCCGTGTCTAGACGAATGGCTCCTGAAGTGCCAGTTAAACGGATATAAATAGCCCATATAAATGGTTGAATTCTCCATTCAACTTGCTTCGGAACGAGTTTCTGCTCGGTTTCTGCTGTTGCTCGCTGGCAGGGCTCTGCTGCGGTACAGCCGCCGTGCGGGTTGCGCATGTGTTGTCTGCAGGTTACCACATAACCCAGCGAGCGTTCATTGTCTCTTAGGGGAAAATTGAGCGCTTTGACGGGAGTGTGTGTATGTTTGTATGTGTGTGTTTGTGTGCCGGCCCCTGATTCACTCTTGCAGCCTTGTGATCGTTTTCGAACTAAACTGTAGGGGTCTTGTATCCGTGCCAGGCAGAGAGACAGCAACGCAGGAGAACGTTTCTTTCATGTCTTCGTCCTAAAGAGGACTGCTTAGACCTTCTTCAGGAGCGCGGAGGCCAGAGAATCAGTGCCTCGAGCGCTTCAATCTCAAGGTAGGCCGCCCTGAGCCCGCAGTCTTGTGTCGGTGCGGAAGCGCCTTCAAAAATAAAATGGCTCATCACTGACAACGCGACCCCTCCGCACAGTGGGATTTAGCTCTCTTTTACGGGTCCTGTGAGAAGCCTCTCGAAGCGGTGGGTGCGAGATTTAGCAACAACCTCGTTTAAACATTACGATTGCAGGTTCCTCGCCAAACGTAGGGGGGAACCACACTTCTGCACTATCTGCTGCATCGTTGCGCTTAATCAAATAGTGGTGAGAAATCGACCAGTTGGTTCGGCCGGCCGTGCACCTGGTTAGAATATTGGAGGCGACTGGCACCTGGTTATAAGAAGAGGCAATAGTGTGTGTGTGTCTGTGTCTGTGTTTGTGCTACATGCAATGTGCAACTAGCTGTAAGTGCTCGGAGTGCTTAGAAGATGTAATAGGTTAACACACCATAGCTGCGTCCCTCCCTCCTAAGGTTGGCAGCGCTGTGGGGGAAGGGGGGGCCAGGGAAAGGCGCGAATTCTTATGAGGTACACTCAAGAGCTTTTAAAGTTTTTGTCCAGTCTGTAACTGGTGGTCTGCCTTAAGAGACATCAGGAGGGGCAGTTTACATCCACGGTACCCCACCTCCTACCCAAACTCCTCGTGCGACCTGGGGTTAAGCGATCCGCACGAATATGTATCAAGTTTGGGGGAAACGGGAAGCGCAGCTGTACGTAGTAGCAGGCAGCTAGCTGCGTCAGGCAAATCGTCAAGTGGAGGTTCATGCCATCTTGCTCAAATCAGCTGATGTATAGCGCCGCACTCCGTAGGAAAAGTCACCCTTCAGCCCGCGAAACGCGATACACAACTTACAAGCTGGTTGTTATTAGGATTCCCCCCAAAATGTGTTCATTGTTTTTTCTTTATGCCCTACCTGACATTCAGCCGTATAGGGGTCAGGAGGCATCATGGGGGGAGAGAGGGCCACATAGTCAGAAAGCAAGTGGTGCCCCTTGGTGTGGGCGTCTACACGCACCAAGTTCCCCGTAGCCAGTTAGCCCACAGGGACCCATATAGGGTTTGTGCTTATAGTGTTGAATAAACCCTACTCCGCAGAAGCAGCGCATACCAAAAACCGGATCGATCACCTCGTCAGCTCTCGGCTGCTAAATCCCGTAGCACCGATAGCCAACATCGTGGCCCTCCGCGTGCACTCCAGCACACTGTATGACTTGAGTCATGGTCAAGAGTGAATAATTCATGAATCGATATCCCACGTCGTTCATGGGGGCACTACCTCACATGGAGACACAACAATTCCAGCGACACAAGGGACATAGCGGCACGATTTCTGATGACAAATCTACAGCACCACACGCTTCCTCTAGAAAATACTTCCAAGCTTTAGGGCCTCCCCTCCTGTCGCAAGGCAGCGCAACCCGCAAAGAAACCCTTTTAAATGCAACAGCACTAACGACAAACCTACAGCGGCTGCTGCCTCCCCCTGCAAACCTTCCAGACAAGCAATCCCTGAAGATGCGTGCTATTCATAGCACCTGCGGCGTAGCTCGTGACAAGGGCGTCTCTTATGAAGGCACGTAGAAACAGAATACATATCCGTCCGTATCGCTGCTGATGACACAAGTTCCCGTGCGCTCCCGTATCCACCTTTGGCCGTATCCCAATTCCACCTTGCTCGCTTTTAGCGGCCGGAGCACGCCGCATCTGCGGAGCGCTCCACACAGGTGTGCTGCAGGCGCACTAGCTGCGTAAGGTTCCTTCCCCCCTTCTCTCTCACTCTCTCTCAGCGCATAAGAGCTGTACCCTAGGGCCAGCTTTGAACAATTTAATGAGTGAATAGAAAAGGCGCCCGTTCAGTTATTTTGCTGCATGGCAAATCGCCACGCCCTTCCGCCCCCGGTGGGGGTCGAGGGAGGGTGGCACTTATGCACGCCCCTCCAAGCTGTGGAAGTTCTCATTTGAAAATGTTCGCTGCGTGAGTAAAAAGGGCCAAGAGGACTACCTCAATACAGAAAATACATAAAAGGGTGGATCCGCTGCTGTGGCAGCAGAAGCAGCACCACTGCGTACCGTTACAAGTGGTGCGGGTGCTGCATATATGGACGCGCGCTCATAAGCAGCTGACAATGGGCGTCCTGGAAAAGGGGAACCTTTTTAGGAAGCATGTAAGACACAGCGAAACTGTAACCAGCTGCAGTGCTTTTTCCCATTCTTCCTATGAGGGCTGCCTTCGGTTGCCGGCTGCGATTCAGACCGAAGTTGCTGCCGATGTGACGCCAGCTCTATCAGTGCTGCTGCCGTGGCGCGCGCTGAGAGCTGTAGACATGACTGCATCTTAAATTAATTCGCTAATTCGTCAAGGGCAGTATAGGCAGCTTCTGGGATGTCCGTCTCGGTGATGATGCGGAAAGCATAGTCTTGCCGTGCGGTTCTATGTTTTAAGTTCCCTGATGGGGAAGCCAACCCCGTCAAGCCCCATGCGTGGTCTGCATGCGGGTGCACCGAAGCCAGCAAACTGGGGAGGCAGAGAAAGTGCGGCTTGCACTGGGGATGGTAGGGGGCCACGTGGAAGAGCATTGGAAACCAGCATGCAGTAAGCGTGTGGAGGTGCTGCTCGTCGTTCAGAAGGGAAAGCGACAAGATAGCCCGCAAAGCTGAATCCCATATTGGAAAAGCGCTGCGACAAAAACGGCGCACAGAGCACATCACAAGCAAGGAATCCATACACGGGTGAAGGACAAACCGCCCAGTTGTATTTTAAAGGCGCTCTCTCGCTGTCTCTCTGCCGCCCTTCCTCTGAAATCTCACGTTCCCAGCTCTTCACGCTTTCACACCACACAAACACCCGCCCCCACTACCCCCTTCTTTGCCAAAAAGAATGATCAGATCTTGAGGAGCGCTCTGAGCGCCGCAGAACCCCCTTTTCCCCCGTATCCCTCTCTTTATACGTAGAAATCTCCCTCGATTAATACCGATATATCTCTCTCGCTTCCACTTTCTCTCTCCATTCAAAAACATAAATATACATATAAACATAGATACATTTATGTATATATATATCTTAAAGTGTCGACTGCTCACAGCTGGATAGCTTCTTTGGTTCCTCCCAAGATACCACCCACGACACCTGGTTGGTACTTGGCGTGCGAGCCGAAGACTCCCTTATGGCACGGCATACTCCAGGGCCCGTCGAGAATTCTTTGCGGTGTCTGCTGCATAAGCAGAGCGCCGCGTTTGACGTGTTTCTCGAGAAAATCGCCATCCAGGAACCCAGACACGCCTGCTGGCGAAGTTGGGTAGTACTCCCTCTTGGGTGGATCTAGCCACATGAAGAAGGCGGACTGGAACGGGTTCGCCAGCGCAACCTCGGCTACCAGCGCGAGTTTGCTGCTTTGCACGATGTAGTACTGCTCATTATAATACGGATGATTCCACCAGCCGACATCCACACGAGGGTCTCGAATAGCCGCAGAAGCGGCTATCCGCACGCTGCTGCTCAGCGAGGCGTATGGCAGCTGATCTAACTCGAGGGGAATTACACAGAAATGCAGCGCAGAAGGGGCACCCTCTGTTTCTGCCGCCAGACGATCTTCCATCTCCTTGATGGAAGAACGCACAAGAGGCATATACCACGCGTCCGTGAAAAAGACGACTGCCTGATCCCGAAAGAGGTCAAGTCCAGTTCTGAATTGACGCATATATTCCTCTGCATTCTTAAAGGGCGCAAGCGCGGGAGGTGGCAGGTGCCACAAGCCGCTCACAATGGTAGTCGACTTGCGATGCTGCGGCATATTTCTCTTCGGACAGAGGCGATGCACAAGCGATACAACAACGGACTGCGGAGACAATGCCCTATCTCTGCGAACCTGTAACCTCCCGGAGCTAGGCAGCTTCTGCTCAAAAACACGAGGTTCCCCAGATGCGATGTCGTTCCAAGAAACGCCTTCTGTTACTGCCCTTTCTTCCGTTACTGCCCTTTCTTCCGTTACTGCCCTTTCTTCCGTTACTGCCCTTTCTTCTGCTCCTATTCCTTCTCCCTGTACACTTTCTCCTGCTACTCCCATGCCCCCTGCTGCTCCTGCTATAGCCACCCTCCCCTCCCTCGGCGTTGCCGCGTCTCCTGCCGTCGACAGATAGAGAACAGGCGCAACCCTCCTCGGAACGGCAACAGGAAACAAGGGGACGAGAGGATTTGAGCCACCGCTAGAGGCCGAGGCTTTCTTCTGCACGCGAAAATCACAGCCTTCCTCATGACCAAACAAGAAGAATTGCTCCCTCTTGAACTCCCTCAAAGACTTCGCCTTCTCCGCGTCGAGCGGGGAAGAAATACTGGCTGCTTCACCCTCTCCCGCCAGCAGGGACCCCCCCAATAAGCCGTCATCTGCGCTTGCATCTTCTGCCTCTCCGTCCTCAGGAGGCAATCCATACAGCGGTCGATAGGGGGCAAAAAAGTACTCCCAAAGAGCCAAAAAGGCTGCAGAGGAAGCAGGAGCGAGCGATCGCATCATATCTCGATTTAGCAAAGCAGCATACGCTGAGAGCACATACACCCCATACACACACCCCCCATGCCACACCCTATGCCCCTCTCCACGGTATTCCCCTCGTCTGTACAGACCAAAAATCCATGCACTCTCAAATATCATCGCATTATTTTCTATTATCCTCATCTTCCTTTCTCAAATATCATCGTATTATTTTCTATTATCCTCATCCTCCTTTTCACACCCTCTCCTTCCTTCACAGACACGCACTTTCTCCCTCCCTCTCTCCTTCCTTCACAGACACGCACTTTCTCCCTCCCTCTCTCCTTCCTTCACAGACACGCACTTTCTCCCTCCCTCTCTCCTTCCTTCACAGACACACACTTTCTCCCTTCCTCCCCTGCGGTCCCTTCTCCCCCCGCGTGTTGGGGTTGCCTTTTCTACCCTGCCAGCATATTTTACCCGTGTCTGTTGTGCGCAACTCGACTCCGCACGCCTTGTCCTTCCGCCAAGTGGAGCCTTTATAGCCCGTATTGTCGCCTGCGGGAAATCGCTCGCCTAGGGGGCCCCCAACAGGCCCTTCTGGGGGCCCCTGGAGCCACGTGACGATGCAAGCCGCCATGAAGATGCAGAGCATCCAGCGTCGGAGAGAGCGCCACATAGCCTTGAGAGACTCCCCCCATGTGAAAAGACGCATGGCGCTCCAAGTTTGCGCGGCGGCTGTCTTTTTTTCGCGGGGAGGCAGTCTGACCACGTTGCTGATGACGCAGTCCTCGCTATCGCTGCTGCTGAGTGCCTGCTGCCAAGGATCTAGCAAGGCTGCTCTGTCTTTCAGGTTGCTCGCAGTGGCTTGGCGGCCTTTTTCCCTTCCCGCTTTCGAGGGAGGAGGGGCGTTCGCCCCTCCTCCGCCTTCCTCCTCCTTGACGCCGCCCCCTTGCGCATGCTGGCTTTCTGAACTGCTGAAAGCAGGAGGCCCCTCTGGAAAGGAGGGGACTAAGGATCCACAGGCGGAAACAGCACCGCCAGAAAGGGTCGAATTTCCCCTGGAACAGAGGCTGGGAAGAGGAACGATCTGCATATCCTGACGGTAGACAGCTGCGCGGGGAGGTGTGGGGCAAGCTGGGCGCTTTTAGAGTGGCACTAGGGGGGCAATAAAACGCGCCAACGGCAGCAGCAGCTACGCCGCGCCAGGGATGAATGAGAGCAGCTGCGTTTCACCCCTTCGCGCGTGCCTCTGGGAGGCACAGAGGCTGCCCTCCCCTGTGCAGCCGACACCGCAAGTGCAATTCGGAGGGGCAGTCACGCGGTCGACGGGCGGTGCGGGGTGGCCACGAGGGGGAGTTGGAGGAATTCGCGAAAAAAAATCCGCAGAAATAGAGCTCAAAGCGGCGTAAACCCAGAACAGTCACGAAGCATGCGCGAAACGCGCAGAAGAAAAGGCAGGGGGGCAGCCGACGATGCCTTTGCCGCGCCGAGGACTGCCCACCTCGCGAGTGGCTACGCTGCGCTGGCGGCGTCAACGAGAGGGGAAGAGCAGAGACAGGAGAGCAAAAAACTGGGGATTAAAACCAAACATATATAATTAACGCAAAGGCAGCAGTCGTACGCGCACAACGACACCGGGGCGGCAAGAATCTTGCACGAGACGACAAGCTCCCTCCTGTGAGGAGCTTGCCGGCCCTTGCCAAATCCCTGCCTACACTGTACGTACTGCAGCGACTGCAGCACCGCAAGCCAGGCTGGCATGGAGTTGAACGCGGCTTCACGGCGCGGTGTTTCTCACAAAGAGGCCGGTAGATGCATGGCTTTGCATGAAACACGTTACGCGTAGAGAGGCGAAAACGTCGGGGTGCAAGAGAGCCAATGCTCGAAAGCGCACCGCTGATGCCATCCACGCAGCTTAATAATGCGCGTGGCTGTCTCTACGCACTGGGCAGTTGGTTGGACGGTGGGGGCCGGTAGCACGGGGGAGGGTTAGGAGGGGTAGAGACCCTTAAGCGTCTGGTATTCAGAGACGGTTCGTGGCTGCGTCTTGATCCTGGATTCTTCAGTGTTGCTGTGCATGCAAGTGTGCACTTAGTTTACGTAGGCGTCTCGTCTGTGTGTGTGTCGATTCTTGAACCTCTTGTGGGGCCACACACACAGACACAGACTCCGCAGGCTCCCTGCCGCACGCTTGTTCTCAGCTCTCCCCAACCCTTCCCCATATCTAAATAATCCCTGGGAACTGCCCAGTGTCTCGGCATCCCTGCAGGCCACCCTCCCTTTCGCGCAACTCCGCAGCACCTCCGTTCCATGCTGTATGGGCGTCTTTTCCTGCGCCGAAATCAAAGAGGCCAAACGTTTGCGTTGTTACAGTTCGTGAGCGCCTCCTCCAGACGCACGGGAAATCACCCGTATAGACAGCAGGCCCCACGACGCACCACTACGTTTTCCTTTCAGGGGAATCCCCTGTGTGTGGCTTCGTGCCCCTCTCCCAAGCCGGCTCCGCGATCTGCAACGACTGGTGAAACGACAAAGGACCCCACTGCCTGCAGCGCAGCAGGGAAAAGCTACGCTTTGGCTGTCACTTCTTTAGTTTACGCATTTACAGCAAAAGTAGGGATGAAGTGACGTCTTGGCTCGACCGTCCGGAGTTGTGTGAATGTTTTGCTGCGGAGTAGAGGTAATTGGCTCAAATCGATACGAATCAATCCTGTGCGCCTGCCTGCACATTCTGGATTGCTGCCTTGCGCGAGCAACAACGTGCATGTTGGGAGGGTTGAGGGGATGCAGCAAGGCCAGTGTGCCTAGCTCTTGAGGCCCTTGCCCTCACGCCAAAGCCTTGAAGGTTAGGACTGCAGGGAAAGGGGACAGAAGTTTCTTGGGGGTTAGAGTCACAGTATGATCCTACACAATCTTGTGCGCTGTATCACGCTGAAAATGCTTCCCTAGCTATGGGCCCCCCACGGCTATATGTTCAAGGGCGGACAGAGGTTTCTTGGGGGTTAGAGTCACAGTATGATCCTACACAATCTTGTGCGCTGTATCACGCTGAAAATGCTTCCCTAGCTATGGGCCCCCCACGGCTATATGTTCGAGGGCGAGGTTTTCCTCGGAGTAGAAGTGACGGAAACTACATAGAAGAAATAATTCCGATAATTCTTGGCGGCGTGGCTTCTGGTGGGCTTCGTGAGCTTTGACCCTATGCATACGGGCGAATACGCGTCTGTCTTGAAGCGTGGGGATGTCTATCCATGAGGGCTTGGGAGAACTGTATGGTTGGGGTGGGATGAAGAAATGCTGCTGCCGGTGCTTTGTGGAATAGCTGGCTTAACAAAGACTCTTAGACACTGAGAAGCATGCTAAAGATTCGCTTCCAGGAGGTCGATAACAACTAAATCCTTCTGGGGGAAGAGGCAGGGTGAAACGGGCCAAGGTGCACCGACACTCTACATGCTGCACTCTTTGTATGGAATTAAGAGTTGGTAGGCAGCTGACGCTTCTTCTGTTTTTTCGTGTACCGTGATGGCTGTCATGTATAGTTAGCTCACTTAGATAAAAAGCAGGCATTTGTGCATCTGCCCACAATGTTCTGTGCAACTTGCTCTGACTGCGGGAGTGCGTCGAGATTGCAGCAGCGCGCACATTGACTGGCCCTCTCTGTTCTTGAGGGAACCCTGCTGTGTTAGAGTAACGAAAGAAGAAAGCTGTCTTGGAAAAAACGATTTGCCGGCAAGTCTGTACTGCATCTAGGGCTAAGCGTCTCCCCATGCAGGACTAAGAGGCAACGTCACAGGAGCACACAAAGCTGACTGTCATCTCTAGATTGCCAGCCCACGCCAACCTCAATTCTAATATGAGCTTAACTGAAGGTTGCCCTTACGGAGCTCGGGCTAGCGGATTCATGAACAAAGCCAAAGTATAGCAAGAAGCCAAAATATTAAAACAACGAGCGGCAGGAGGAAACTAGAGCACAGAAAATTGCGCAGCCTGCAGCTCATGCCATGCGCAGCAATAGCGCCCAGGGTGTGAGTTGCGATATTTCCCAAAACCAATATAAAATTAGCCGGAAATCATTATTTGAGTGCTTCCCTAAACAACTCCCTACTTTGCGTCTCCACACCCTTTATATATCCGCTGTGAGGGGAGAGAGCCAGCTAGGATGCGCGCAGTTACACCCTATAAGCAGTCTTACTCCTGACAGTTAATTGCACGTAGCATCTAGCGCACACGTACGCAGCAGTGCTTCTCTTATTTCTGAGCTCACTCTACTGTGCAAGAACAACCTCTGCGAACGGACAAACCAGTTGGGTGTTTTTGCTACTTCGTAGTTCAATATAACTAGTGTAGTTGGTAGTGCATTAGCGCTGGCAGTGTGTTTTGACCGCTGCATCCCCCTTTCCTTCGGAGTGGAATCCTAAGCTCTGGTGATATCACGAATAAACGTTGGACTTCTTTGAGGGAGTCTGGAGATAACATTTTAAAAGCTTTAGGTAGCGGGGATAGGTCTGAAGGTCCCCTGGTTTATGCCCCTGAAGGGGCTGGTAGAAGCGTGTCCCTTCGTCGCTTCGTTGAGAGAAAAAGATGCTTCTGAGAGGACAGACCGCGTATCTGCAGAAACGCTATTCAATAAAATAGATCTCGGAGTGAAACGCTTTCGTTATGTCCAGAAGGTCAATGGTTTCTCTGGGCATTGGGTACATACCATGGCATCCAGCTGGTAGTTCGTATCGTCCCTTTTCATTTTCAATGTGGATGTTAAGCTTTGGTGAGGCTCTTTACACATATCTTGAATAAAAAGCAATCTTGTTTACGAAATGATCTCGCATTCGTAAGAAAAATTGGACTGCGTTTGGATTAATAGCATGCATCATTAAAGTCTATCTCATGCAGGGGTGGCTTTTTGTCGTTCAGTCCCACTGCTAGAAAGGGCTGATGCTGCAGGTTGCATGTCTTCTTTATGGAGCTTCAGGGTTCAGGAATTGGCATTTCGCCTTCTTTTGGTGAAATTTCTCCGGGGTGGCACCTCTGGATTCAATTAGAACATTTGTTCCTGGCTTTTTTCCAGTCTTAGCCTGCAGCCCCTCCCCACCGTTTCTGCCTGTTCCTCCTTTCACTCACGATTGGCGAAGATGAAGGCTGACAAGTCTCTCCAGCAACCCGTGAGCCATATTTAAAATAAATTATAGGGTGGGATTCAGGGCGCTAGGAGCTGATCAAAAGGAGCAGCAGAACAATTCTCGTGCGGCGGCTCTTCCCGGTGCTCTGCGGGGAAGCCTGTGTTGCATGTATCGGTGAATGTTGGAAGTTTGTTTATGCTTTTCCTCATTCTGTTTCTTCTTTGGGGGCTCGTTTTTGGAATTGATATTTCTAGGTTGATCGCGTCCCTTGTACGTACTTCTGCATGGGCGCCAGGCGTGGTGTGGGGTGATTCAGCTTTTCACTGTCAGTAATTGTACCAAGAGTTCATTTGTGTGGGGTTTTCGGCTGTGGGAAGGCATAAGGCGTCGTAGAGGCAGTCTGTGGCCAGCGAGAGCCTGGGCGTGTATGTCGGTTGTTCATGCACCTGCTCGAGCCATGCGTAGTGCTTTGAATCTTGTGGGGGTATGCTGGTTTCCATGCTGGCTGCCGGTGTATGTTTGTTTCCGAGTTCTTTAAGGTGACACCATGTATGTGCTGCTGTGTCTACCGAATTATATCCTCCCATTTGCTTTCTCAAGTCGTATTCCGTCATAAGGCGTCGTGTGCTTTGTGCCGCCTTTTCGTCTTCTCGCTTCGTTCGTTTTAAGACCTTTTTCTCTGTGGAGGGTCCTGTTGTTTTGCATGCAGATCAAGCAGTACCAGGTTGTGGGCCGCCTCATCCCAACCGAGGCACACCCGGCCCCCCCAGTGCTGCGTATGCGTCTATTCGCCACCAACAAGGTCCTTGCGGAGTCGCGTTTCTGGTATTTGCTGCGCAAGCTACGCAAGATCAAGAAGGCTCATGGAGAGATCTTGGAGATCACGGAGATCAAGGAGAAACGCCCCACCTACGTGAAGAACTTCGGAATCTGGCTGCGCTATGACAGCAGAACCGGAGTGCACAACATGTACAAGGAAATCAGGGATCTGACGCAGAACGGTGCAATTTCGCAACTTCTAGCCGAAATGTCTGGCAGGCACAGGGCGCTGGCGAGCAGCATTCAGGTGAGGGGGGGCTTGAACGAGGGTCTAGCTGTGCTGCCTGCTCGTATTCATGAAAAATATCGAAGGAAATCAGCGTTTGTACGAAGTGTGTAACTTGTTTTAAACAGCGTATTTTTGGGTAAAGTAACTCTTTTTAATACTTTAATGTACATTACCTCCTTGCAATCAATTCTTTTTTGTGTCGGAATTTCATGGCATGTCGATAATGGTTGTGCCAGCGGGTTGGATGACGGCGTGTAGTGCCCCTTACGCAAGGCCGCTCGTGAATTGCCGGGTGTGTGGTTCTTTAAAGCCCCATGTGTGTCATTGTACATAGCTTTTATCATGATTTTCGGTCAGCTGCGCTGCCCTTGGTGTACATGCATGCCTGGCCGTTTTTGAGCTGCACGGTTTTCCTCCTTTCCTCAGACGCCTCTCGCGCGCAGTCTTCTTCTCTGTGGTCCTTTCTTTTTTAAAAAAGTACACATTCCTCTGCATGGCGTCTCGTCTGGTTCCTTCTTGCTGTCTGCCTCTCCCCGTGCAGATCATCAGGATCGTGCAGCTCAAGGGTAAAGATTGCCGCAGGCCCCACGTGCAGCAGATGCTGAACTCGAAGCTCAGGATGCCCGCTATTAGGAGGATCATGACAGTGCCTAAGAACAAGAGGTCAACCTTCTGCGCCAGCCGGCCGAGACTCTTCCTCCGCTAATCTGACCAGCAGCCGACGTGTATACGCAAGCGAGCTTTACGGCCATACAGCGTATTCCTGTGCAGAGTAGTCGAGGGGCTTTTGCACTGTTGAGGCGTGCGGTTTCTACCGGCGCGCACTGCCTCTCCAGCTGTGGAACGACAAGGGCACGAGGCGCCGCACGGTTTGCGGCTTCTGGCTTGCAGACTGCCGCTCTAACTGCGTAGAACTCCACAAAGAGCCATGCCGCTCGTTACGTGTATACGTGTGATGAACGCATTCTCGTCCTGGGCCCTCTAGGGTTCGTTTCTTGTAGCTTCTTGCGCAGAATATCGAAGCGTTAGTGCTGATGCTAGGGGCTCAGAGGAAAGCCTATCTTTGTCTAGAATAGCGTGCTAAAGGATTATTCACTCTTTTCTCCCCCCTGTCATGTAGAAAAACCCTAACGGCTGAAGCATGCGGTGAAGGGTGTTGTCTCTAAGAAAGTCTTTGCTCGAGACAGCCTACAAGCGTGGTAGAAGATTACTACGTCTTGCTCCGCGGGGGGGAGAACCCTCTCCCCTCGCTGACGTACCCACCCTCTCCAGCAGGCTTCTGGCGGCATGAGGAAACTGGCCCAGCCCCTCGGCTGCGCATTGCTGCCCCCCAGGCGTTCCCCATAGACACTCGTGGCGAGTCACGCGTGGCGCCTACCGCTCTCAGAAGTGCCCTTTAAAGGCCCTTAAAGCGTTGTCGGCAGCTGCCCCCCTTCCTTTCCTGCGAGCATGCATGCGCGTGCCAGCGAGCCCGAGGCGTTTCGAATTCTTGGCGTCACGCAGCGCCCGTGCAGCAGGACGGGGTCAGATGTTCAGACGTAGGATGCTCGCTGGACTGGCTGGTGCGCGCCTTTGCGGGGTGACCTTCTGGGTATGTGTATGTGTGTGTGTGGTGAGTTTACTGTTTGAGTGGTCGCTGGCAAGGGGATTGTTGCTTTGGGGTTTAATAAAAAGGTAGCACGCTTTTTGTGCGCCATTCGAGGCCGCCTTGCGGCGAGGTCAGTGTCTGAATTGGCATCTTGCTTAGGAAGGATCAGTGCGCGCGAGCGCCCTGCCGTGGTGCTTCCGCTAGGATTCGCGGCTCCTTCGCTTCCCCGGCGCAGCGAAATGGGAGTTTACGCGGCCAAAAGCTCATAGCCGACGAAAGCCACCACTTTAGTCGAGTTTTTGCGCTGTGAGCCCCCGCACGTGAGGGCGGAAGCTCTCCAGCCGGCTGCTTGTTGTCGCCTTGCGGTCACCTGGCAGCAGCGCCTGGGGGGTTCCCGGCAGCGGAATACCGAGTAACGCGTCCCGAGGTGGCTTAAAAAAGCGTTCTAAACCTGAATTTGATGTCATTTTCAGCACGTAATCTGCTGAGATGCAGCAATAATGCCCCCGAGGGCCCCTCCACTGGCCCCCTCCGCCTCTCTCAAGGTGGGTGACCAGAAGGGCAGTGGCGGTGGTAGTGGCGCCTTCGGCCTTCTGCGCGCTTCTTGCGTTTTTAATGGTTAATCTTCAAAGTCGCATGTTTCAGCGTTATTATAGGTGTGCTTTCTTGGTGTCCTCGAGGGCCTCTGCCTCGCCGCGACTCGCAGACAGCAGCGACTCGCGCGGTTGGCTGAGCAGTGCAGAGCTGCCGCGGTGCAGAAACACCCGAGATCCTGGCGGTCCGCGCCTCGTCTTCTGTATTTCCGCGGATTCCTGAGCTTCTAAAGCGTTTGTTGCTCCATTGAATGTCGTCATTGCCCCGCCTCAAGGGCCCCTCCGTCCCCCTCGCGCCGCGCTTTCCCCGCCCCCTCGCGCGCACGAACTGACCAGTGGTCTTCTTGCCGGCATGCGGCATGCGGCGAGCCGCCTGGATGTGGGAGCTGCTCAGTCTTAAGCGGAGGTTCTCTCGCAACGGCCTTTCGGCGGAAGCGGAAGCGAAAGCTCCGGCGGAGGACGGCTCTTTGCTCATGCTGCGACCACGCATACACCCGGCGGGGTCTACGCCGCAGGGGCCCTTGCTGCCACCGCCTCGCATGCACGACGGGGCTGTCTTGCGGCTTTTTCCGCGCGGAGATCTCGAAGCGGGAGGGGGGGGGGGGCCCCTTTCCGCGCCAAGCGCTGAGAGCGACGCTCCCGCCGGGAAGCCGGTCATGGACGGCACGGAGAACTCCGTCGGAGGGGGGGCGGAAATTGCACCTGCGGAGCCTCTGCGTGGCGGCTTGCCTTCGCATTCGTCCTCCAAGACGATTGAGGGAGGACGACCAGCACAGCCGACACTCAGCATGGAAGAAAGCAGCGCTGGACGCTTCGGACGATCCGCCTTGGAAACCCTTCCCTCCAGAGGCGGGAAGGGTCTGCAAACCAACAAGGAGCGTTTCCACATGCTTCCTAGCTGGGGGTCGAGGGCGTGGAATAGCAGTCGAGGCATCTCCACTTCGATCAGAGAATCCACGTCAAGCCTGTCTTTCACGCGGCGCCAAGGCACGCCGAGCAAAAGAAGAAGCAGCAGCAGCAGTCTGCCCTTTTCGCAGTCTCGCGAGAGCTGGTAAGCCGACATTCTTTGCCACGGCAGACAGAGGAGGAGAAGGAGAAGGAGAAGAAGGAGAAGGAGAAGAGGCCTCCTCAAAGAGGAGGCCTCTTGTCGTGGATATTTTGCGCTTGGTTGCAAATCATGCAGCAGCGAGAGGAGGCAGGAAAGCCTCCTCCTGCCTCCTTTCTCCTCCCTCCCGCAGGCTTCCTTAAATGCGTTTCCTCATAGACCTTCGCATGGCTAGCTGGCGTATATCTTCCCGAAAGGGGGGCTTCTGCAAGCTGGCCGCTGCATGCAATAGCAGCCGCAACAGGGCAGAATACGAAGAGCAACATAGCAGCAACGGCACCGCTAAAAAAAAGAAGGAAAAGCCTCACCTTTCGGCTGCGCTTGTCTGCTTTCGCAGGCTGACGCGCGGGAAAAATTGGCTCTTTTCCCTCTTTTGCTTCACGGGGAGATTAGGCATGAAGGTGGACCCTTTCACGCTTCGTTTTCTAGACAAAGATATCGAAAAAGACTGGATGGAAATGGTACCTTTCATATATATATACATATATACATATGTATATATACACAAACACACACATGTATATGTATATATGGAGAGACCGCTCTCTATACAGAAACACACACACACACACACATATACACACCCGCACAGCTCTTTCTCTCTCTCTTTTCTCTCTCTGTCTTTATCTCTCTTCTCTCTCTCTCTTTATATGTGGATATACGTGTACAGACAGCCAAACGTCCTGCGTCCTCATGCGTAGCGGTCTTTTTGTTCGTGAATTTCCGCTCTTCGTTTTTGAGCCTTAGCCTTGCCCCCTTTTTCGAAGCCTTGTCTGCAAGTGTGGAGAGGCTTACTCCTTCGCGTTGCAGCTGTGTGTGGGGACGGCACAAGCGGTTTGGGGCTTGCGCCTCATCGCTGTGTGTGCAGGAGCACTACGCATGCGGCTCTGTGTTCTTTGCTGCCCTTTTTCTACGCAGCGAGCTCAAGATGCGGCGCGGTGTTATTGGTGGCTAGGTGCCATCATCCTTGTTCAGCTCATTTGTGAGGTTGTTCCTCTCGAGCCGAGGGCAGGAGCGGACTGCTTCAAGGCTTTCTAGAAGTTGAAGCGCACATGGCATAGCTGTCTTCTCTCTTTTTTTATCTTCGGTAGCGTGTTTCTCTGTTGGGCCCTGCCCAGTGCACTTGCTTGCTTGGCGTATTGCGAATCTTGAATTTTTCTGTTTGCGTTTTTCGCAGTTGATTTGATAGATCGGACAGTCGGAGGCGTTCCACTGGATACGCGGGATGGTCAAATGGTGCTGCTTCCTATTTGGCTTACGATACCTCTTCCAGTCTTGTTGTTCGCTCTGTGCTTTATTCGATGGGGAAGAAGGCACTCCAACACCTGCCTCACCGTCATTTTCTTCCTTTACAGCCCTCTTTTCCTCCTCTACTCAACACGTCCGTGGGTACACTTGGGAAATTTGCTTCTCCATTCGGGGGCAACAACAGAAATTCGGGAGGGGGGGGAAGAAGGGGAGGAAGGCAAGAAGGGGAGGGAGGCAAGAAGGGGAGATATACCATGCGCTGTGTCGATCCTGCGCATCCGCTGTCCTCCTTAGTGCTTCTTCTGTGTGCTGAGTGCCTCTCCTGATCCTGTACGTGTGTCTGCGGATCTCTCTCTCTGTGTGCATGTATGTATGTGTGTGTATGTATATGTGTGTGTATGTATATGTGTGTATATGTATGTGTGTGTATATGTAGGTGTGTGTACATGTATGTGTGTATATGTGTGTGTATATATGTATGTGTGTATGTAGGTGTGTGTATATGAGTGTGTATATGTATGTGTGTATATGTGTGTGTATATGAGTGTGTGTATATATGTGTGTGCATGTATGTGTGTGCATGTATGTGTGTCTATATGTATGTGTGTGTATATGTAGGTGTGTGCATGTATGTGTGTCTATATGTATGTGTGTGTCTGTCTCTTTAAAGAAATCCTTGCTCATGTCCCTTTGGCTTTGCCATACACAACAGCTGCTTTTCCCTCTTTTTTGCGTGCTCCTTCCTGCACGCCGCGTGATAATCTTTCTCTCTATCTCTCTCTTTCTCTCTCTTTCTCTCTCTTTCTCTCTTTCTCTCTATCTTTCTTTCTCTCTCTTTCTCTCTCTCCCCCTCTCTCTCTGTCTGCCCGCTGCCGCATGCATATTGCATACATACATGCATAGTGCATACACACAGGCATGCGATGGACGCCGTTGTGTTGCTGCTGCTTCTCTCTCTCACTCTCTCTCTCTGTCTGTTGTTTTGGTTGCATGCATCAGGAAGCCGCACGCGCCAGATATCGGAGTTTCTGCTTGGACACTCACTGGCCTTTGATTTTACCCTATTTGCAAGAAGAGATTCGATCATATCAGCCTCACAGCCGCTTCTTCTTGTTATTGCAGCCTATGCGGTTGCAGTTCCCTACCTCTCAGTGCTCGTCTTCTGCCTTTGGATTGCCACGTGGTGGACGGCTATCGCTTTCTTGCTTCCACCCAGCAAGCGCCAGCGTGAGGCACAGACTTTTTCAGCAAATATCCTTAGCAGGCAGGCTTCTTCCTCATTTCTTACACTCCTCAACAATGCGACATATATATATATATATGCCCGCAAAAGAGGGGTGGCATGAGGGTCTTCCCCATGATTTCCTCACAGCAGCATTGGCTGCATGAAGCGTTCTGACTCGCCTTCCAGAGGCAGCGATGCGCACACACAGACGCATACAAAGTTACGGAAACACATATATGTATATATGTATATGCACATATATATGTATATATACATTTTTTCCGCGCATAGAACACACATACACACCTATCTATACATACATATACATGCACGCATGCACACCTATATATATATATATATATATATATACTTTTTTTTCGGCGCACAGAACACACATACACACCTATCTATACATACATATACATGCACGCATGCACACCTATATATATATATATATATTTTTCGGCGCACAGAACACACATACACACCTATATATGTATATATACACATACATGCACACACACCTGCACACCTTTATATGCATATACATATACATGCACACACACACACACACCTATATATGTGTATACATGCACACATACATACACAGAGAGAGAAAGAGATACAGAAGAAAAAATAAGCATGCAACAATTTGGTAGAAATTTGTGCAGCTGCGGCGGCTACATGAGGAGAAAGAAAGGCAGCAGTCCTTTCAAGAAGGTGCAGCAGAGTGTGTGGACTTCCTCTGTGTGCTGCAGCGGGGGCAGTCAACTGCTTTTTCCTTTGTTTGTCGGTGTTGACGTTCTTGCTGGTTGCATGCCTTACAATCCGCAGTGCACATATCTCTTCTCGCCATCGCTTTTCCATGATGCGGCAGGTGGGTGTACAGCCGCTTATGCCGGCAAGTTTTCTGCATTCGTGTCTGTTATTCAAGTGTCACGTGGCACTGCTATGCGTTGATCGAGATCTCTAGCGCATTGGATTTTTGTATGTGCCCTCGCTTTCTCTTTTTGTCCCCCCCTCCTTTCTTTCTTCCTCCCTGCATGCATGCAAATGTTACCCCTTGTGCTGGCCGCCTTCCACTGTCTGCAGACAGTCTGCCGTGATTTTGCAGTCGTCGCTGCCTTCTCCGTTCCTCTCTCTGTGCCTCTCTCTGTGCCTCTCTGCGTGTGCCCTCCCTGCCTCTTGTTTTCGTGGTCTGTCTGTCGTCTCTTTGAACTTTGTTGAACGTCTTGCCCCCCGAGTCTTTTTCGCTCAGGCAGATAAAGACATGGCAGGCATAAGGAAGCAAGCGGCAGCTTTGGTAGAACATTCGCCGTTGGGGGAACTCTTCCACTGCATTGCAACGGCTGAGGTGTGTGTGTCTCTCCGTAGAAACACAGCCGTCAGCATATGCTGCTGATATTACTCTTGCTGCTGCTGCTGTTAATATTACTGTTGTTGCTGCTGCTGCTGATATTACTTTTGCTGATATTACTACTGCTGCTGTTGATATTACTACTGCTGCTGCTGATATTACTACTGCTGCTGTTGATATTACTATTGCTGCTGCTGATATTACTACTGCTGCTGCTGAAAGAAACCGTTGAAAGAAAGTGCTACCGACACTGCTGCTGGTTTTTTTACACTGCCGAAAGAAACTGCTGCTGCTGAAAGAAAATACTGCCGCGAATTTCCGCGGATGTCAGCCGTGATCGCACAAGTGTAGGGATTAGGAGCAAGGGGTATATTTAGCCGTCCGTCTCTCTTCCCTGCCTAAGCTCTACCAGCCTGCTTTTCTTCTAATGCGCATCTGGCCTCACTTTCCTTTAAGGCACATGCCCCCATCCCCTCTAAACCCCCCATCGCCCTGTCTGTTTGGCTGCTCGCGTTTCGTCGCACTCGGGGAGAGAGACAGCCTGCCGCACACGTTTATGAACTATATGGCATTTGAACCTCCGAAACGCTGCGCTTCTCTCTCTGCCTCGTGTCTTCACATCTACCCCTCTATCTACAGCTAATTCTTGTATATATACATATATATATACAAGAATTTGGAGACATATACAAATATGTATATACATATATGTATTCCTGGCCTTTCTCCCCTACCCCGCCTACTTCTCCTACCGCTGCTGCACTCTGCGGGGATTGTCTTAGGCTTCCTTGCGTGAAGTAAAGCTGGCTTTTCCAAAGGATATCACGCACCTTGAAGGCACCATTTCGCAGGTGCTGGTTGCGCTGGTTCAAGCGCAGCTATGCCTCTCGCACCTGGACGATCAGAGGCCTGTAGATCCCCTAAGCGGATCTGCGCATGCGTGGGCTGTCTATACACAAATGCCGAGAGGTCCTAGTAAGCTTCCGGCAACGCATGCAACAGCCGAAGACTCCGCGAGCGCGAAAAAAGGCGAGCATCTCACAGACACCGCCCGGCGGTTAGGAGGGGAGTCAGCGGGCATTGGAAAGGGGGGAAGAGACAGCACTCAGAAGAAAGATAGAGACGCTGAAAAGAAGACGGCACGAAGCGGCAATTACCTAGATTCCGAATCCGGAGTTTGTTGTTTTAACCGCCTCCCGCCTTTTTTGCCTACTTGCTTCATAAAAACCATGCCTAGTCGCCATGCGCAAGGCCATGTGCACTTTCTCTGGGTATATGCAAGTGAATATGTATGTGTATATGTGTGTTTGTACGTGTATGTGTGAATATATGTGTAAATTAATGTGTAGACATATGTGTAAATGTATGTATGTTATGTGGAAATGCATGCATATTTTGTGGAAATGCATGTGTATTATGTGGAAATGTATGTGTATTAAGTGGAAATGTATGTGTATTATGTGGAAATGTACGTGTATGTTTGTATGTATGTATAGTATGTGCATCTATGCATGTAGCTATATGTCTCCATGAATGTTTTCGTATCAATGCGTGTGTAGCTGCGTGTATGTGTGTATATGTATGTCCCTTGCGCTTAAGAAGATGCTCATCATCGGGAGAGAGAGGCAGGGGAATCCCGGAGAAGCTCTCTTCACCGTCATTCCGATGCTTCAAGTTCTGATTCTTCTCACTTAGCGCTGCGAGAAAACCACGTAACCCGTACGGATCGCGTTGTCGCTGAGTGCAGCGGTTGCTCGTTTTTCGTCTTTAAAGACGCTGTCAGACGGGGGCATCTCAAGCAGCCACTGTCTCGCTAGCACTGCTCTTCCGTCTATATATATCTATCGTGGTGGGCTGCTGCTGCTGAGCCTCCGCCTTTTTTCCGCTGTCTTGTGTTTTGGTATTTTTTGGCTTCGCAGCGCAGTACCGGAAGCGAAGCGGAGATTTTCTGATTCTGGGGAGACGATCCAGTAGGCACCTCTCCGCTACTCCTGCCTCCCAACGGCACTATTGGTTGGCGTTTTCTATGTGTTTGCTTTTACTACGGCCTCCATTGCTTCCTCTTCTAGTACCCACAGCTCGATAGGAAATGCACTTTCTCGAGGCTTGCGCTACGCCTGGTTTCTTTGTATCTGGTGTCTGCTGACCTGCTAACCTGCCTACCTCCCTGCCCTTCTTCTTTCCATAGCCACCGCCTCTATGATTGCGCGTGCCTATTTTGATAGACATGCATTTGCTCTCAGTTGCTGTTTTATACGTCTTCCTGCAGGCGTCAGCACAATACAAACGATGGAAATCTCTACGATCGACCCTAAAAGGAGAAACAAATGCAGGTGAATAGGACTGTTCTCGTTGCACTAGCTCCCCATCTTGGCCGTGGCGTTGCTGTTGAGACCAAACTTCACGGCATTCTAAGGCTCCCCCTTCCCCTTTCCCTCATTTCCTCCGCCTCTCTTCTGCCGTTTTCCTTCATCGTATTTCATTTATTGCGCGCTCTTTCCGCAACGTCGACCTGCTTCTTCGCGCTTCTTGTTCCGAAGAACCCTCTCCTGGGTCCAGCCTTCCCGAAGTGTACATACACTGCAGTTTCGGCCGTATCGATTTCTTGCATAGGAGATGAATGCAGGCGCTACCCACATTGAAACACGCTAGGGGCGACCGCTTGTGCTTCATGATAAGTGCTTCTTTTGCACACGCCTTGATGCCGAGAACTTTTTTTCCTTCCCAGCCGCCCTTACGTGTCGTGTGTGTCAGCGCGTGGATCCGTGATTTCTTTTAGAGGCACCTTCATGGCTTTTTCCCCCCGACTGTTGCGCGTTTATCTCTTCGAACAGCCATTTTATCAATGATTTACTCATAAAATTCCAGGATGCGCCATGCCCGCCCTCTGAAAGCGAGCAATTTGAACTGAATCTGGCCGGAGGCTCCCGTAACTCGCGCACGTTTGCAGCGAGGAAGAAAAGTATGCAAAGGGGAATTATCCTCAAAGACTTAGGGTCGTCGGCGGCGCCGCATTCAAGAAAGCAAAGCCTCAATGGAGCAGAGGGTCCCCATGATCCTCTGATTTCCCTGCTCGCGCAAATCGGAAGAAACTGGAATCTGAACGTCTACCTCCTCTCCGACATGACCAAAGGCAACGTCCTGCCTTCCGTCGGCTTCCAGCTCAGAAGGTCAGCGGCTTTCTGATTTCTGCCTGCCCCGCCCGAACAGGGGAAGGCGGGGCTGTTGTCTTGCAAACGCATGCGTCCACTGCTGTCGGCTACACGATGATGTTCATGATTGCGGAGTGTTCACAGCGCTGATTTCGCCGTAGAGCAGCGCGCAGACGCGCTGCCATAAGAACGCTTGCGCCTTCGCCACCACCCTGCCAGCAAGAGCACAACGTCGTTCTTGACTCATAAAAACCTGCGGCTTTTTTCGAGGATTTCTTGTGCGTTTCAGGGCTTTCCTGAGTGACTCAGACGCTATCCCTGTCGATGACAGCAAATGGTCAACCTTCGTTAGAGAGCTTTGCATTCGGTACCGCTGCAGGGGATGCACAGTCAGGCCTGCATGTCTGGCGCGCTCGCTGTTTCCTCACAGAACACTCGGCATTTAGGCTCTTTAAACGTCCAAAAAAGTAGTCTTTGCAGAAAAGATCCAGAGCGTTCTTGCATGCAAAAGCGCCGCTGTTTTACCGACGTCTGCCTTGCGTTTTTTCGCTGTCTGTCGACGTTCGCCTGATGCGCAGATATCGGAAAACTCCGTATCACAACGAGCGCCATGCTGGAACTGTAGCCCATCTAAATGTCTGGCTTCTTCGCCATACCGCATGCTGGAACGTGTAAGCAAACCTTTCTTGCGAGTTCAAAAACTGTAGCCAGGAGCTGCTGCAAGCTCTCGAAAAAAGAACGCCCATGAACGAACCGCACATTAAAAACTGAAAGGTACAAAACGAGGACTGCTCGCAGAAAAGGGTCAACAATTTCCAAGCTAGCAAGCGAGAGAGCCAGCGTATTTTCAGTTGCACGATCGTAATCAGAAACCTAGGGCATGGTGGGTGGTGCAAGTAGAAAAACAAACTTTGAACTATTGGGGAGTGCCTTCCTCACTTGCGTTTCCACGTCTTTTTCTTCGTGACTGCTTCCCTTGCCATGCAAAGCTGCGAAACAAAGCTCGGCGGTGCAAAATGAGGCCTTTCTAGTTGGTGCCTTCCTTGCCTCGAGGGGTTTAGACTGTCTTTCTCTGTCTTTTCGCTGGTGTCAGTGAACTGCTGCATATCTCCGGATGAATAGGACGTGGAAGGAGCCACTTGGCATGTATACATATATATATATATATATGTATATATATATGTATACATGTATATGTATGTATGTATATGTATGTATGGATGTATATGTATGTATGCATGTATATGTATGTATGCATGTGTATGTATGTATGTTTGTATGTATATATGTGTATGTGTGTATGTATGTATGTACATCTATGTTTGTACATGTATGTATGTACATGTATGTACGTATGTATATGTATGTATATGTATGTATGTATGTGTATGGATGCATGTGTGTATATATGTACATGTATGTGTGTATGTATATGTATGTATATATGTATATGTATACATACATATATATGTACATGTAAGTATGCATGCGTGTGTACATATTAATATATTTTTGCCATCTGCTTGGCTGTTTGTTGTCACCGCATTGGGCTCCCGCCTCGACCCTTCAGACTAACCCCCTTACAGAAGCTGGCGGTCGTTGTTTCTGCCTTGGTGCATGATGTTGGCCACTTCGGCGTGAATAACTCTCTTCTTATCAACTCCAATCATCCCCTAGCCATTACATATAATGACAGGGTAAAGAACTGCCTTCACCACGCATGCCCCTGAATAGAACTAAGGGTCGAACAATCACCAAAAAGGGATTGGCTGGCTCCCGTCCTTTTGCGAAACACAAGGACGCTTGCTCGTGTCTTTTTGGCGTTCCTGTAGACGCTGTGTTGTGCGTTCCCTCCAGTTCAGAATTCCACGGTGGTCTTGCGTGCTGTACACTTTGCAGGCAGTACTGGAGAATTTTCACGTCTCCGTGGCTTTTCGCACAATGCTATTCTATTCCAATGGAGCGGCGAACATCTTAGAACACCTCTCCGCCGACCAGTACAAGGTATGAGGGGGGTTCATATTTTGGGGTCTTGCTGTTCTCTCTGTGAGAAGCCTACCTGCCAGATGCAGCTTCTACGAAACATTCTCTTTTTTTCGTTTTCCTCCCATACTTCCTTCTCTATCCCGCTTTCTCTTGGCTTCCATCACCTCTCTATCTCATCGAGTATGTATGCGTACGTGTGTATATATGTGTGTCTATATATATATATATTATGTCTGCATGCGTATGCGCATATCTGCAGTCCGAGCGCGCAGCCATAGTCGAGCTGGTTTTAGAAACGGACTTGGCCTCGCATTTCGACTTTCTCACGCGATTCAAGTTGCGCATGCAAGTCATGCAATCGACGGTCTCCCGAATGGCAAACGCAGACGTTGCAACAGAGGAGGCAGATCGTAAAGCCATTGGAGAAGATACTTCAACAGATTGCTGGATGATTGCAAAGGCTTGCATTAGATGCGCCGATATCGGGTAGGTCGAGAGGATTACAATTGCTCCATTCTGGTCATGAGCAGCATTCGCACCGCAAGCAGCAGATCTCAAATACATGTCTTTGTTTGCAGACATTCTGCGGTGAACTGGGAGCAGCACTACAAGTGGTCTCGCGCCCTGATGAAGGAGTTTTTTTCTCAGGTTTGTCCATCTCTTTGCTTCGCGTTCAGACGTTTTCATGGATTCAGAGTTTTCGCCTTCCGGTTTTTCTGTCACGTCTGCGCAACTTCTTCATGGGGGCATTTTCAGCACTTTTCTGTCGTCTCTCCTCACTGCGAAGGTCTCTTTTGCGCTCCTTCATGTGTGCATGAGCGGCTTTCCCTCTCTCTCTCTCTTTCTCTATGGAAAATAGACTTTCATGCGGATTAGAGATTTTTCCTTGGCTTCTCCCCTGCAGCGTCATGTCGCACGTGGTCATCGCTGTTAGCCTTCTTTCACTGCGCGCTCACTCCTCGCTTCCTTTCGGCGAAACCGGTGGACGGCATTCGTGCATTTTTGTGATCCACCTTTTGCGGAACGTTTCTTGAGCTGCTCCCCGCTTCCTTCATCATGATCACTCAGCCGCATTAGCCACTCTGCAATGCGTGTTCTCAGGGCGCACAAGAATTAGAACTTGGCCTGCCCATTTCTCCCGTTTGCAACGAACAAACAACAGATGTGCCGAAAAGTCAGATCGGCTTCATCCGCTTAATATGCCAACCACTTTTCGAAACCTTGGAGCAGGCGGATGCTTCTGGCGCTATTCTTGGGGTACAGCGACATGAACATGGCACTTTAGGCGCTTCCTCGAGTGCTGCTTTACTGTTGAACAACACTTCCACGCAGTTCTGCGCTCTTCCAGTTACTTGTGTTTCGACGGATAGGAGGCGTTTAAGTGAAAGGGGCTTTCATCGAGCAAAAAACCTCGAGTGCAACTCCTGGAAGGGTCTTTCTTTTCGTTTGCGTGGCATTCTTTTGGACGCTGGTTTCACGTTGGAAGCTGGCTTCCGTGTCTGGTGGCATACTTCTAACCTCATTTTAGTTTTCGCATTCCTCATAAACGCCGATTGTTTCAGACATTTTCTCTAGCATTTCCTAGTCTACCTGGCCGTTTCGCTCTGATTTCTGCTCTTTTCCATCATCACTTTCAATTACTCTGCCTCAGTCAGAGGTTTCCTGATAAATCGTTTGTTTTACTGTTTTTTGGCTTGGCTTCATGCTGTGCTCTGCTATGCATTATCGTGCGTGGTATTCCTTCCAGGTTTGCTTGACTCAAATGCGATCCAACTCGGGGTTCTGGCAGCGCATCTCCGACACTGGCGTCAACTGGAGAGACAGTAATGAGGTGACAGCACTTATCCCCAACGCGAGCGGCACACCTCCCGCTCGTGCTGCGCCTTAGCCCAGGCGCTTCCTCCTTGCTTGTTCCGTCATCTTACTGCCGATTCAAAGGGAAGAGCGATCACTCATAGGGAGGAAGAAGAAGCAAGAACAGGTGGAGCAAAGATCATTTCAAAGATTAGAACAAGCCAAGCATCTGCGGTTCCACGCAGATGCTTCTTCGGAAGGGGTGTCATCGAACCTTACTCCCGCGAAAACAACAAAGCCAACCACAAGTTCAATAAACAATACGGCAAGCAGCTTATCAAAATGGAAAGTGACGATGGTCTTGTGACAGTAACACCCGTCCGAATGCGTTGTTTGTTTGGTTTTAGGGTCCAATCCCATTGTAGAAGTACATGGACACAGGTCCAATTTTTTCGTTTCGAATTTTGTTTATCTACGACAAGACCATTGCAGTTTTTGATAATGGCTAAATCAACACAGGGGAGATTCAGAAATATGCATTTTAGAGCGAGGAATGACGAGAAATAAGCGAAACACGATGTGCCTGAATCCATGCGGGATGTGCGAAGAGGTGACAGCACAAAAAAAAATTAGCAAAAAGGAGAGAAAAGCCACTAGATTCTGCGCAGCTGGACAGTACTACATGCGGTGGCGTGTGAAGTCTGCAGGAACTGCGGCTGTGCCTTAGGGCTCCAAAACACTTCAAAAGCTGTTGGGTGTCTTGGAAACTTTATTCAGTCAAGAAAGAGATCGCCATTGTCGACGTAGATATGCGGGTATCTGTATGAACATTCTCGTCAGTCGCGCTTCCACCGGGCTGTGCAAAGGCTGAGCATCGCTTTTGCCGTTTTGTTGTTTCCGCACAATATATTTCTACCAGAGCAGCCTCACGCGAAAAGCACGTCAGCCCACCCGCCTGCCTGCCTGCCCCGATCTTCGCCACAGATGGGGAGGCAGAGAGAAACTGCACTCACTGCTAATGCCTAGCTGCCATTCGACGCACCAATCAGGAAGAAAACCGAATGCACTAGGGAAGACACAGTTTGGTTGTATCCGCGTTGTTTAATTGTCGCTTAGGCTTTCTCGCGGAGAAAGGAAAGCCTAATAATCCTGCTGCTACACAGCAAATGGAGGTACCCCACCCTCCTTCACCAGTTTTCGTGAGCTAGAGAATTTCAGGCGGTGAAGGCTGCTATGTCTAACGCCTGCGGCTCCTACAACTGCAGCTCGTGTTCCCTGCGCGTCCTACCAGTGTGTCTGCCTGCAGCCATCTTTTTTGATGCAGACGCAGAGGAACCCCCCGCAGACAGGCAAGCGAGCAGGTAGGCAGACAAGCAGCTAGCTGGCCAGTTAGCCCTAGAGAGTGCGACTGCAAGAGATTATGAATAAATGATACAACACACATGCGGGGAACACCCAGAATACCATGCAAACAAAAGACGCTTCCCCGTCACTCGAATTCATCAAGTTGCACAGGGCGCCAACGACGAGGTTTGCAAACGAAGGAAGACATGGCGAAAGCGGACCGCGATGCTAAGACATGTATGGTTCGGCTAAATATACACACACAGATGGAAATATAGACAAAGGATGACTGACTAGTAGAAGACACCATGACTGAGAAAGTAGCTGCACTCTAAGTTACCTTCGAAGCGCCTAAGACATCCTCCGCTATCCCTACTGCAGCCTAGGCACTCTCCTCCGTCTGGGAACGTTTCTGTTTGGATCTACGTCTCTTCCCTCTCTGCCCCCCTTCTCCCCCTCCGCCTCGCCGACGCTCCGCTCTCCGGCTGCAAACGCAGGGCAGCACGCCGTTCGACTCCCCCCGAGCCGATGACGCCTTGCATCTGAGCCATCAGGGAAGCTAAGAGACGTCTGTTATGCATGCACGCTGCTCCTTTGTGTGCCTTCAAGGGTGCAAAGAGGCGTGAGAGGCTTCGCGAGCTGTTGTGTAGCGGTCGTTTGGTGGCGATGATGGTCGTTTGGTGGTGGTGGTGGAGCTACTTGTACTCCTACTTGCTGTTTGGAGGCTCGCTGCTGGCGCTGGATGTTCGTTTCGTCCGTCTTCGATCGTAAAGAAGCCTCTTCCTACAGTGCGTTGCTGGCTCCTTAGTTAAGCACAACGAAAGCAACGCCTTAACACCAGGCGGTGTGTGTGGCTGCTGCTGCTGCGCTTCTGCTTAGGCTGAGGCTTGCGCCGCTGGTTGAGCCGCGTCTAGACTCAGAGGAACTGCCTGGTCGTCTGAGTCTGCCTCTACAATCATGAGACTGCTGCTAGTGGTACCCCCTGCAAGCGGAAATCCCTCTGGAAGTTCAGATACGGCGAGACCGCATGCGTTCGCTCCGACTGGCTCTATACCTAAATGGGCAAGCCCCGATACAGCAGACTGAGCTGCTGCTGCGTTTGCCCGATCGAAGTCATCGACTGAAGAGCTTTCGGCTGCCGGTAAAGAGGCAGGTTCTGCTGAGGAAGAAACGGCCACTGGGTTGTTGGCCTCTGCTGCTGCTGCTGCTGCGTCTTCTGGTTGTGCATCCGCCGCAGGTGCTTCTGCTTCTGCTGTTTCCCTGTCTTCTGTCAGCTGCATCGCACTGTTTTCTGCTGCCGCTGCTCTGGCGAGCTCAGCAGCTAAGTCAGCGGTAGCCTGTGCCAGCGACTGTGGAGTGGCAGCTGCAGAGACCCCTCCGCTGATCATGCTTTGGAGGGCACGTTCTGTTTCTCGCTGCACACCCTGCTGCAGACTGATCTGCTGCATGGCCTGTGCAGCTGCCTTCGCCCCCAGCCGCACCCGGAGATTCGCACGCAGCTGCTGCCGCATTTTCTGCTCAACCTCGGTAAAGGAAGCGCCGGCAGCCTGAGCTTCAGGTGCTCCTGCTGCTGCTGGGGAGACCTGCAGATTCGAGGGGCTTAATGCGGCCGTAAGAAGCGCAGCAGAGGCTGGGTTTGGAGCTGCAAGAGCAGCTCCTACAGGCGCTGCTGCTGTCGTCGATAACGATCCTGCGGCTGTGGAAGCTTCCGAGGATCCCTCAGCGGCAGGAAGAGGGCCGCCACAAGCACTCGAAATTGCAGAGCAGCTGGCTTCCGTCATCTTGAGCGTTAGTGCACCCTGCAGAGGACAGGGGCCCATACACACGGACACACATGAGAGAGATTCACACATATTCATGAATAAAACACATTTACACAAATATATTTATATAGATATACGCATTCACACACGAAACACACATTTTCACATCCGACATATTCATACCCACAATCCGAATACACATTCATACACCTGTACGTACACCGGGGCGGTAGCAGTCATGCAAAGCATTCGACACAGCTGAAACCTCTTGAGAAAACAAAAACTTTTAGGGAATAAGGCGCGCAGTTTAAAGCTCTTCTTTTAAAAAGGGAATCGCAAGTCTACATGGCATCCATAGAGCGCGTCAAAGCCTCTAAAGGGTGCCAGCTCCTGCACAAAGCGACACCCCGAGAACAAACCGCATCCCCTTCATACTGCGAAAACTCACAGCATCTGTGAGGATCAGGGCACCCTTGCCCTTCAGCTCGTCTGCTTTGCTAAGAGCAATGCAGGCAAGACGCGCTGCCACTTCCTGGCAACTGCGGGGTCCGGCTTTTGCGGCATACGCCAATGCTGCTGCTTCGAAGTCGGCTGCAGCAGCAGAAACATAGCATGCACCCCACGCGAGAGACGGTAGACAGAGATGCGCGGCAAGCGCATTTCAAAAGCGCATATGTATAAGCACATCCACACATATGTATGTGTATATATACAGATTTCTCCGTATACATCCATGCATGAAAAACGCACACATATACACATACGTACACCGTTCCAGCTCGTGAACTTGCAAGAAGCGCCACTGTTCAGCAGCAGCAGCAGTCACAGTTATACCCCCTGCAAGTAAGCGTCTGCCGACCTATCCTACGGAAGCCGCCATAAACAGCACGCACTACACTCAAGACTGCCTTCTAAGCTAGCGACAGCTTACCATTGCCACCGCATGCCTGCAGATTGACTGAACACCCAGGCTGCTCCCCCTGCTGCTGCCCCTGCGGAGGCGGCAGCGGCGACATGAATTGCTGTTGCTGCTGCTGTTGCTGTAACGGGAAAGGCGGCTGCTGCTGAGACAAATTACCTGCAGAGCCGGCTCCACTAGACAGCTGTTGCTGAGACAAATTACCTGCAGAGCCGGCTCCACTAGACAGCTGTTGCTGTTGCTGCAGCTGTTGCTGTTGCAGCTGCTGTTGCAGCTGTTGCTGTTGCTGCTGCAGCTGCTGCTGCAGCTGCTGTTGCAGCTGTTGCAGCTGTTGCTGCTGCTGCTGCAGCTGCTGCTGCAGCTGCTGTTGCTGCCCTTGTGGCTGCAGTTCTTGCTGCCCTTGTGGCTGCTGCTGCTCTTGCATCTGAGCAGACGGCGTGGCGCCTTGCCAAGGCATCGTCTCTTGCGAGGTGGTCGTACCGGTGCTTCTACGCGTCAGCTGCTCCTGCTGCAACGCGGCTTGCGAATCTTCCGGCTGCTTCTCCGTCTCCGTAGGGCTCTCTATGGTGGAAGCGACCACTTGGGGGATCGTCTGGGGAGCGTTAGGCGGCACTGAAGACGGCATGTCTAGGCTTGGTAGGGGCCCCCCTGACGAGGGAAGCGGCACGCTCAAAGGGCCTAGTGCAGTTCCTGGAGGTTCGTCTGCCTGCTGCAGTACCTGCAAGCCTGGGAGCAGACTTGGAGCCTTCGCAGTTAGCGGTGATTGAAACGACGGCGCGCTTACACTCAGCTCCCCCAAAGAAGGCAACGCCAAAACCCCCCCACCAGCAGCTGCAGCGAGTTGCAAATCGATTGCCGCCTTCTCAGCCTCTAGAAGCGCAAGGCTAGACTGATCGGCGGCTCTCTGCTGTTGTTGCTGTTGCAGCTGTTGTTGTTGTTGCAGCTGCTGTTGTTGCTGTTGCAGCTGTTGTTGCTGTTGCAGCTGCTGTTGTTGTTGCCCAAGCTGCAGAAGTTGCTGTTGCTGTTGTTGTTGCTGTTGCTGGAGGACTATATTAGAGTTTTGCTGGGGTGGTGAAGGGTATGCCAGCTGCGTTATTGGCATCTGCAGCATCGGCTGCTGCGCTTCTGCCAGTGAACTCGTCTGCAGGAGAGATGCTCCCGAGAGGCCAGCAGGCACTGCCATTGCCTTTGCCTCTTCGAAAGACTCTGTTGCGGGGAGGAGTGCTGCGTCGAGTTGTTCATGCTCTTCTTCCTGCTGCTGATGAAGACTATTTTGCTGCTGCTGAGGATGAGGATGATTGTGCTGCTGCTGCTGGAAGGGTTCAAGAGGAGCTTGCTGCTGCAAGGATCGGCGCGCCTCTGCTGCTGCCCCCAGCAGCAGCCCAGCAACTGCTCCCGGCAAGAGCAGCTGCCGAATCTGACGCTTCAGAGACGCCATCTCGGAGAAGAAGCACTAGGGAGAGCCGACTGCCGCTTCTGCTGGTCTTGCGGCATAGGCATGAGGTGGCAGAGAGGGTCGTTTCGCACAAATGCCTGCAGTCAGCGAAAGGAGAGAGAGAAAGAGCAACCGCAACACGAGCACCCTGACATACGAAATCTCCGCCCTTCCCCCCCCTTCCCCCTGCTTGCACTCCCGTTAGAGCGGTGTCACCGGAAAGCTAGATGCTTTACTTAAAGGCGCAGTAGGATGACCATTGCCACTGCACGTTCGTATGTGCATGCAGTGGTAAGGTTCTAAGAGTGGTGCGCTGCCATGAGGTCGCTTGTCCTCGTTGAGAGATTTACAGTGCGCGTCGATACTCCTGCCCCCGACGCCATGCTCGTTCAGAACGAAGTTATGAATTTCCTCCCACCACTCAGCACGACCTGTTAGAATTGCAGCAATTGCGTGTCTACCCGTAGATAAAGGCTGTTGCTGTGCGCTGCTTCCTTGGCTTCTACGAATGCTGCCACCCGGCGGAGCATCGACAGCGTAGATGCAACGCGAGCGAGAGCAAGAGAGCACGCCCCTACGATCACGCGTTGCTGCCACGCGCGAGCAGATTCCATACACTAAAAATGCCCATCTAAGAGTTCGATGTTAGGGAATTAGGAGCCTAGCATACGTACTGGATGGCGTGTCGGGGGCTAGCCGGCCCGCGGCTGCAACGGAGGAGTTCGCGAGGATGAGCACCTGCTATTGAGTGAATCTGCCAGGAGAAGCGGATAGGAAGGCATTAAAGTCAGATGGAGAAGAATGAAAGGGAAATTTACGCGGAGAGAAGGAGCAAAATGCATGCCATTTCTACACACAGCGAAGACCAGCCCTCTGTGCGTTCCATTATGAAGGAATCAGGCGAGCTGTCATCGGGGCTGATAACTTCTGTTCGAGCCTATATTTTGCATTAATATTAACCGAAGAGCAATAGGATATCCAAAACAAGGAGATAATTGTAAGAATTCACAAGAGAGAATGGGCTGGCGAAAATGACTCAGTGTTCTGTATCTAGTTCTTGAATGGCAAGCGGGAGGCGTGCGCCCTCTCAGAGCCTGGCGAAAATTGCCCATTCCTTAGAGCTAAAACACTTTAGAGTTGTGAGCTTATTGATGCTCTTGTGGGGATTCGGGTAGGTAACCTTTTAGTAACTCAGAGTTGAGGCGCCCTCATGAGCAGTCATGGCCCTTGTATTGTGCCACTTGCTGCTGCACGCGTTAATATGTGTGCTGTACTTCAAATTTGTTGGGCTCAAGCACTTTCCAAGACGCAAATTCTTGTAGCTGTGTCTGAGAGAATGGTTCAATGCTTGTATTCCAGCCAGCGCCCCTTTTTAGTATCTATCACTTCGTTCTGTCCTTACTGTGGCGTTTGCACGTGCTTCCTTGCTGCCTGGCAAGGTTCTTAGGCTTATCGCTTCCTCTACTGGCTTCATTGTTCAGTCGGGCAGCTAGTTTTTCGTCTCGTTCCTGAGCCTTCTGCAGGCACCGGCTGAACGCCGTTAGTGGAGCGGGCAAAACAACACTGAACACTGTCAGCTGAACACGTCTCTTCAATTTAGAAGCAGTAGAGCGTCGATTAATCGCCTGTCTGGTTATGTCTACGATCTATTGCAGACTACTGTTAGCTCAATACAAGATCACAATTTTGTGTGCGCATGCACTGCATGCATGGTGTGTGCAAGTAGACGTGAAAGTTCCGAGCGCTTCGAAGGCGCGGAAACGCGCATCCTGGTTTTCCCTTTCACCTTATTTCGGCATTCCTGAGGGGTGCGAATAGGAGAAGACAGGAATCTTGTTGCAGTCTTAACGGCTTTCTACGAAGTTTCCATCGAGCCTGGAGTTGAGTGTCTCCCTCAAGAGCCCTTCTACAGAGCGTTGCAATCATCATGAGTACGAGCATTTCTAGTGTGCATGCGGCGCCGCTGAGGCCAATGGTATCCTGCCTTGACACGTCTAGCTATGCGTTGCGCCGGAGTGCAGTGCGTGGGCTGTACTGTGGGCTGCCCGCCAAGATATCTGGCTACGGGAGAGCACGTGACGGATGTTATCCCACCGAAACACGCTATTTTTACGGCCTTGCACTTGAAACTTTCATGAGGTTGTCATGCACCCTGAAGCGCTCATGCCTAGGGTGATACATAATTACGGAAGACGGCAGCGGCAAAGGCGTCCAGTTTAGCTCCTGCGCGCTCTATGTGTCACCGGGGGGGCAGGCGCAGTACAGGAGCCGTGAAGGGCAGCGTCTGAAGGTTGCACTGTTGTGGCGTTTTGGTGTGCCGAGTGTTATGGCGAGCATGGGCTAGAGATTGCGAACATGGGGTAGCCGTATGGGCAGCGCATGTGCAAACGAGCAAGCACGGCGCGGAGGGGAAGCCTCGAGTTTCTGTCTGGAAGCTTAGCCAAGCACGACTTTGGGAACGAGCGTGCAGTTGACAGCTTGTGAGCTCAGGAGGGAGAGAGCTTAAGACTCGCCAGTGCATGCTTTTTCAACTCCAGGCACCCGCAAATTCTAGTGTGCACGCAGTGGAGCTCCGTTCCCAGCAAAGTAAAGTTCGCGAAAAGCTTCTCTATAGAAATACCCCCAAACCCTGCTCCCGGCGTGTCTCAGCGAAGATCGTCTGAACCGCGAAACTCGTCTGTACTTACAATACAGAGTCTCTCTCTCTCTCTCTACCTAGGAGTTTTCAAGATCAGCGTGACTGCCTGTCCGTGCACTCGCCTCCGCGGCTCCCAGTCATTCCCCGGGGGAAGGAGACACATGGCGTGCTCTGCTCTGAATGCGAGCGTTGTGTTCTGTGTATCGCTCGCTACGCAGGCGGGAGCTTCCTATGTGCACCTCAGGCACAAGGGGGAGGGATGTCGCGCAACGACGCGCGAAGCCCATGCTTTTCACGGAGAAACACAAGCCTCGTCACTTTCGGAGCCACGAAAATTCAAGAGAGGCAAACCTTTCATGAGCCAGTAACGAATACAACAAACCTTTGCAAAAGAGCGCTAGCAGTAGGCACTACTCATAGTCGCCAAGCATCGCAAGTCTGCAGCTCCCGCGCGCCAGCGACGTACTACAAGGGAGTAGCTGCACATATCTTGACCCCTCTACAGAATGCCAAAGCCACAAGGACGGCACTTTCCTTGACGCTGAAGCAGGAGAAAATACGCTCCTCTCGTCGCTTTCCCCCTTTGCAACCTCTGCACAGGCGCACGCGTGAAGCCGCAACGTGCCGAGAACGCGCGGCTCCTCGCGGCTGCCTCCATGCCAGTTGCGGCGCCCGTCAAACATACGAAAAAATGCTGCATGTCTACAGGTGTGCTTTCACACCAAACCCCTATCCTGGTGCTCTCGGCAGTCGCTCAGCTCGGGGGGGATCGCTTCCAGCGGAGCCGCCGCTCTAGCAATCAGATACTCCGCTTCCAACGCTGCCAGCGTGGAAGAACGCACTTTCAGCTGCAGCGCAGTCTCGAGCAGCAGCGAAGGCGACACCCGGGAAGGCCCCACCTTGAGGATTTCGAGGATGCCTTCAAAAGAATTAGACAACAGCTCATCCTGCACGCTCAAGAACCGCAGTGCACAGCCACGCGAAAGTGTGTACGCGTCGGAGACTTCGACGCAAGAAGAGGCCGCATTCGAAAGACAGAGGGCAACGAGGCGCAGCAAAAGACACACACATGCATACATATACATGTACATACATATACACATATATACATATACATATGCATACACATACATATACACACACATACATACATGTACATATACATATACACATACATACATACATACATATACACATACACATACATACATACATACATATACATATACACATACATACATACATACATATACATATACACATACACTCTCCACAAAGGAGGCACAGCCCCTGCGCACGCCTGCTTCCTCCCCCATCTATCTCCCCCCCTGTATCTCCCCCCCGCATCTGCACATTTTCCAAGTTGGCTAAATGCTATAGCTCGTTCCTGCTTCCTCCTCCGCTCTCGCCATAAGGGCTTCATCTGCGCGTAAACTCTGCTTGCCTGGTAGATCTTGAGAACCGCCAGCGCAGTTCGCATGAGCATCTTCTCCCCATCTCTGAAGAAGACATCCCATACCCTTGCCACGCACTCCAGCGATAAGCTATACCCAAACAGCGTCAGCAACCAGCCTGAAAGATACATAGACGGCTCCACGCCTTCCGAGCGTAAGTGGAGGCTCAGCCTGCAACGCGATACACACATAGAAATACACATACAAGCGCTTACATATACACGTACATGCATACATATACATACATATATACACATGCATATACACATGCATATATATACACACATACATATATACATACAAATACATATATATATATATACACATACATATATATACATATATATACATATACATATATATATATATATATATACACGTCCACATAAATACACACACATATACACAGCCGACCCGTGAGGTAGTCCATGAGAATTACACTACACGCCTAGACACACCACGATGGCTAACAAATGGTGCGAGCTGCACAAGTCGCTGGCGGAATGGAAGTAAAATCGCATGCACAGCGAGGCACTCCAAGGCGCATACCCTCTCCCCTAGGGAGTGCAGAAGCCGCTGCCAACGCAACTGCGAGAGAAGGAGAGAAGGTTGAAACAGAGGCAGAGAAAGAAAGCAGAGAAGAGAGAGCAGCGGGCAGCAGGAAAGGGGACGCAACAATGCCATTTCTTCTTCTTCTTCTCGGCTGGCGGCGTTCTGCGCCGTTCGCTTCTAACCCGCAAACGCATGCGACGTCTCCACAGAAGGCATCGGTGCAAAGCAGACATACCCTGGCATGTGGGAGTGCAGCAAGCGTTGAAACTGGAAGAAGTATTTGTCTAGCAGAGGCAGTCCAGGCTGGTACAATCCCTTCAGGCAGAATTTCTTCAGCAGACACGCGAGCAGCGTAAAGGCCTCTGCCTCCTCCATGTGCAGCAACAAGACGCCGCACACAAAGCCCATGCCTTGACAGTATCCTGAAACAAAGATGAAGGAAAGAGAGAGAGAGATGATGCGAAAGAGAGAGAGAGATGATGTGAAAGAGAGAGAGATGATGCGAAAGAGAGAGAGAAAGAGAGAGAGAGATGATGCGAAAGATAGAGAGATAGAGAGAGAGATGATGCGAAAGAGAGAGAGAGAGATAGAGAGAGAGATGATGCGAAAGATAGAGAGAGATAGAGAGAGAGATGATGCGAAAGATAGAGAGAAAGAGAGAGAGAGATGATCCGAAAGAAAGAGAGCTAGAGAGAAACAGAGATAGAGAGAGAGAAATAGAGATATTGAGAGACAGAGAACTATAGATACATTCAAGGCATCCTTGCACGGCAGAGGAGAGTAAGGGCCGAGGATACCAGCGCGTTAAAGTGTTGACTGCAACGCCGTTGTCGCAGCAGCTAGCGAAAGCGTTTTGCGCAGACTTACCGACATCTGGACTGAAGGCAGCGTATGCCTTGAGAACCTTGAAGAGTGCCTGAAAAGAACGGGGAGAGCCGCAAAAGCGCATTTGCAGAGCAGAAATCACGACACTAGGCACTCACCCATAGCTGCTGCTAGTATTTGTGCTGGCACTATGTATGCTGGTGCTGTTTACGCTGCCTGCCAAGCACGAGTTCGTGGCATGCAGCAGCAGAAAAGAAGGCAACTCCCGATGGCACAACCCAAGAGCCGACTGCGGCTGGCTGTACATACAGCAACCCCTCGGAAAGTCGGAAATGTCGCGATTTAGGGTGTCGCTAGCGAGCGACACTCCAAATCGCACAGCACACAAAAGACTCTCTCCCTCCCCTGCTACCAGCAAAGATGCCTCGGCGTCACACACAACAAGTAGTGTCTCTGCACTGATCGCAATCTCCCCTGCCACCAGCAAAGATGCCTCGGCGTCACACATAGCAAAAAGTGTCTCTGCACTGATCGCAATCTCCCGTGCCAGCAGCAAAGATGCCTCGGCGTCACACACAGCAAAAAGTGTCTCTGCACTGATCGCTATCGGGGTACCTTCCTCCTCGTACATGATCCACGCTCAGAAAGGACAAGTGTCGAGAGAAAGCAGCCTCCCTCACGAGACCAACCCCTCACCGCGCTGAGAGTAAAAGCATGCAGCCTGCTGAGGGGGAGCGAGCCGTGTCACTCGCTGAACTCCAAAGTACCCACCTGCTGTCCAGCAGCCTTCTGATCTCTGAAGAGTGGGTGCTTTGGAAACGTTCGATTGACATCGCGAGCAATCATGGAGAGAACGGTGACAGAGGGGGCGGCACCGCTGCTGAGGCGAAGGTAGAGATCTGAGGAAATGCCTTCTGAAACAGAGAGAGGGCAGCAAAACGCATGGAAAAGACGCGCTACATCCTCGACTAGAAAGGCTCCCGCCGCAGTCCGCGATGGACGAAGCGAGAAGATTCAGCGCATTATTAAAAAGTCAGTGGCAAAAGGCGCTGCCGGTTAAAAAACACGCTGTCTAGACAGCGTGTTTTTTAGAGACATCTACCCTCCTGCACCGCTGCATGTTGGTTCCGACTCATGACGCAACGAAATGCACTAGTCCTTGACAACACTCCCCCTACAACTCTCGCCATTTAGAAAACGGTGCCCAATTTATTTGGAGGCATTAACACCCGCCATTCGCCCTTCCTGAAGTGCCTCAGCCTCCAACCCTCCCGCGTTCAATCAGCTCGCTCTGCTCCCCCTGTGCGCACATGCCCGATATCCTGGAAAAAGACGCCGCGACAGCCATTCAATCGCCCCCCTCACCTTCCTGCTTGAACTTTTCAACTTGCACGAGCTGCTGCCAGACAGCTCCCCGTAAAGGCGGAGGAATGCCGTTCCGAATACGCGTCTTGAGAGCTTGCTTGTTTCTGGGGAGGGCGAAATCCGCAGTGCTGATCCAAAATCGCCACTGGTCAAACTGCCGCAGCTGCGTCCGATAGTCTCCAATCATGTCGCAGTCTACGCATCCTGAGGAGGGAGAGGAAAACAAGCAGACAGAGGCGGTGGTTGCAGAAGGCAGTCCTCATGACGTGCGCGGCAGAACGTAGAACACACTCCAAGAATAGCACAGAGCCTGCCGGTCCTACGGCTACGCCAGAAAAAAATTCAGATATATGCTCGTGCACGCTGACGAAGGAGAGGCAGAGACGAGAAGAATCGGAAAGAGGCTTGCAGGGCGTTCAGAATGGTTCTACGCGCGTAAGCGCTTAGAACCATAGACGCCTAATTTCTACGTTTCGAGCACTCTTTGTCTCTAGACTGTCGCGCGTTTCCCCTTGTAACCGTTGGACACAGAGATATGCTTTTCACAGTTTGAATTTGGCTCTGAAGCTTCGCGTCTCGCTGCTCGGTTGGAAAACGACCATAAGCGGAAGGGGCGCACTCGCAACGGTTCCTCCATGCGGCATCTTATGATGGGAAGACACCGGATGAGGAAGGAATGAGAAATACTGTTCCAAGGGCTGAAATAGCGCCTACCTCCGTCGTCGGGGAGAGCCTCGTGTTGTCTCGAAGGAAGCTGCACTTCATCGCAGTCGACCACAAACCCCCTGACCGGACAGAGAGGATTGATGCACAGAGGCGTTATATCTGGCGGAAAGAGCGCCAGTTGCTCATAGAGCAGATTTCGAGAAGGACGCACGGGGTCCCCCATTGCTCCCTGTGTACTGCTTGAGCTTCGCCAGTCGCCGCTGGCGGAGAAACGTGGGAGCCGCAGCTGTCGCGAGCGCTTGGTAGGTGAGCTTATGTGTTACAGTAATAAAGAGAATATCAGAAAATGACTTTGGAGCAGCCGGCCGCCTCTGCGGCGGGTGAACTCCCGTTGGTGAAGAAGTAGCGGGAACAGCAGATGAACCAACAGCTAGACTGGCGTCTTGTCGGCGTAACAGACCGCACGTCTTCCCAGTGAGAGCGCTCAATAGTAAATGTCATTATGGTGCAAATACAAGTACCTGAAAATGGGAGATTCGCAGCACTTAGTGCGTACCAGCTTTCATGCCCCGGGGCGGCTGCCGCTGCTCCCGCTACCAGGGAAGCGTTTGCCCACGATACTGCCACAGACATTCGGCAAACAAAGTGCAGCGTATTCCTTTCTTTGTGTCCTTCGACTTTGCTCATTGCGTGCCTGGTGCTACCCTCTTTTTCCACGCCAGATCCTGGGTGCCCCCCTGCATGCAAGGCGCTCTGGGCAGATAAAGGCGTTTCATGGGGCCAGACTAGTATCGGCACGCCGTAGCAGCAGTGCAATCCAGTGCGCGCGCATTTGAATCTCCCGCCACACGTATCTGCCGGCCGTTCAACCGACGCCCTTATCAGAATGTCGCACGAAAAGCTGAAGGAGGCGATGGCTGAGTTCGATCGGCTGCTGGAAAGTAAGCACAGAAAAGCACTAGGCATTTCAGCTTGCGCAGCTGCGTAAAGCTGGCTTCCCTGCTCCGCCTGTGTGGACTTGCTCATAAGGCAGTGCACTTTGTGCGCGGAAGGTCGCCTGTTTCTGCGTAGAAGCTCCTTGCCCTCCTTCCTTCGGGTTCAGAGTGCAGGAACGGGTGTCGCCAGCTTGCAGACAGCTGCAAGTGGAGGCGGGCATGAGTTGCGTTTCGTATTCTCTACTCCTCATAGCGCTTCTCTGTGATCTAGGGGCATTGGGGGCTGGGGTGATACAACCTTACGCGTTGCACTGCTTTCTGTTTGGGTGCCATTAGAGCTGCAGACAAACACGAGAAACAGCAGTCGTTTGGCGACGCAACAGAACGAAAACGGAGCCGTCATTCGAGTGAGTCGTGCTTCGCTTTTCCGACTCTGAATGTGTCGAGAGAAGTGCAAATCCGGAAGCTACCCTCTCCTCGCCATACACTGCAGCCCTATGGTATACCCTGCACCGCATTTACAGTGCGAATTGCCTTCTGCTCGCACGGGCGCGCGGCATGGCGCACGTGACGCCGTATTGTCGGTATTGCATGCAGGAGCTCGAGGCTGCTGCTTCGGATGCAGTAATTTATAAAATGGTTGGTCCTGTCCTCATTAGACAGAACAAGACAGAAGCGCTTTCCACAGTCAACAAGCGCCTGGAATATGTCAAGGGAGAACTGTGAGCCTAGGATTCTGGGAGTGTCTGGCTTTTGAGTGGCGTTTCTATTCCATGTGAACTGTCGACTACAGTGTTTGGGTGTCTCTCGCCCCCGAGGCGTTGAGGATTTTGACTGTAACAAAGTTTTTATTGCAGTTGTGGCTTCACGGGGTGCTTGTTGCCACACGAAACAGCATGAATTACATGACGAAGAAGCCCAGCTTCGTCGTCTGAAGTTATTGCGCGCGTGTGAATTATTTTCTGTAGTGTGCCTACACCAGCATACATGCAGCCTGCATGCGTGATGATTATGGGCTGGCCTCGTTCAGGAGAGAGAAGAGGGAGCGTTCTGACTCCCGCTTTGCCGTTGCATTTGTTTGCTGCGTGTGGCGCTCTCACGCTTTGCTCCTTTCGAAGGTTCCTTTGTGGGTGAGGATGTTCAGACAGCGCTGCGACAAGGTGGATGTTGACACGCGGAAGCAGTTTCAAGAAGCGGCGCAAAACGTGGAGGCTTTGCAAAAGAAGTTGCTGGATAAGCAGAGGCAGCAGAAGGGGAGGCTTTGACGTTTGCAGAGTGGAGGCGCGCGTGCAGGATGGGAGTTCACGAGGAACGACAGTGTAGGAGGAGGAGGGTAGGGGCATGTGCAGTGGTTCACGCATGCCGCCTATGGCTAATGGGAGAGCAGTAAATTGGCGATTCGAGCGAGGAGACAAACGGCGAAGAAGAGAAGAAGATGGCGATGACGCGAGAGGAGATCGATGAGACTGCTTTCCTGCAGGGTGAAGGAAGAAACGCAGCCACCTTCGGTGGCTCTCTTCATCGAGGAGGCCGTTGAAGCCTCCTCATATTACCCTTTATTGCTCAGTATCCACTTTTTCTAGCCTTTCTCTCCCTCTGATCTCGGTAATTCTTCATTGCGCTCCGACGAGGGGCTGGAACCTGTTTTCAAGACAGACTGCCATTAGCGTGTCGAATCTTTTGACGAGGCTGTTTTGCCCTACTGCTCTGCAGCTCCAATCATTTCGTCAAAGCTCGAGCATTTGTTCATTATGAACGTTGACACGATCCAGAGGCTGTAACGCAACATGCAGCGGCGTCCACTGCGGCGTTTCCAGGAAAAGCAAGGAGCTTATCGTCTCACCAGTAGAACTCGAATATGGCAACAAAGGCGAAAACAGCCGCCAGACCCAGTTGAAAAGCTGAAACAGATATCAATCGAGGGGATACATCAATGTAAGGAGCGTTGCCGGAATAAAACTTACGATGTTTTTGTAATTTGGCAATGGTCAGCACCTCTTCCTTTTGCTGTTCGTTCAGCAACTTGTAACTTTTGCATTTCAGTGCAGTGCATTAGTTGGTTGCGATCTCTTTTGCTGTTTGTTCTGTTGACGCTTACTTTGGAGGCAACTCGTCAGTCGAAACTTCACCGCTCTCTCCAGCAGTCTGATTCGCGTGCGGTACTGCGAAGGAAACGCAATGAGTAAAAGTTACATGAGTACAAATTCAATGCAAACGAACAGAGGTACATAGCGTTTATTAGAGCAGAAGCCAAGTATAACAAGCAACTTGGCGGAAAGATCAGAACCAACCCCACGTACCAAATGGCATGTGTTCATAGTCTGGGATATCCAGCTTTGGAATTTCAAGGGGCGGAAGATGAAGAGACTTTGTAATATCTAAAGGCTCGTCGATGTGAACATGCTGCAGAACGCTAGCGAAAACGGGATTGGCGCGAAGTCTGTTGAACGCTGCTTGTGCTCTGGCTTTGTATGTCGCTTCAATATCAAACTGCCTGAACCCTGCTGCTGGAGCCTTCAGGTCGGGTGATGCACCGTAATGAGCGCAAAAAGAACGTTGGAAGAGGGAACAGGGATAAATACCGCTTCTTTCGGGGCGGGAGGTAACAACTCAATGACGTCAGAAAATGTCAGGACGACCAGAATGAGGAAGACGAGGCTGACAATGAAGGATGCAAGGTAAACGATCTCAACAGTTTGGTTCCTCTTCCAAAGCCCCCAGACGCTGTAAGGAGAGGATATTCCGTCGATTCGCTCTTGTTACATGATTTTTTTAATAGCGTAAACAACCATTCTCACCCCAGTAATGCGCTCAAACAGTTCGTCGCCAGCAGGAAATACCCAACTCCCACGAGGCTCGGCCTAATGAACTTGAAGGACATGAACAAGCAAACGCCGACGATAACTTGCAATAACGCCACGACAACGAGCCCCTAAGATCGAAGTTTTAGATTTGCCTGTATGCATTCCGTTTCGTCATGAGTAGCCACCACCCACCGATCGAATGCTCATGAAGCCGAGGAAACTTCGGGCTTTCATGGCTGATGCATCCATCTTGTGTCACGGGTGTGCTCCTGACGTCAAAACTATTTTTTCGCTCTCAAATCCTTTTTTGGGAGCCTGTCGGATTCAAAACACTGGTACCTCCGACATGGGCATCCGTCGTGTCTTCACTCAGTGTGCATACACCGTACAGAAAGGTGAACTCCCATGCACTTCGGCGAGCTGTTTTAAGACTCATAATTAAAGAACACCCTTTGTAAGCGTGCAATATAGGGACATATGCTCTCTTCCCATTAGACTCGCATGCCGATCTAGGCGAGACATCAGCAGACAGCGAATCTGCATCTCGAGCAAAACGTGCTAAGGGTGTTCCCTCGCATAGAGCTATCAAATTGCACATCTTATTGTATGCAGTTAAGCTGTACAACGCTCTTAATCAGCCGAACCCTACTATTTAAGTTTCGTGATGCCACCTACAGGCGTGCTAGTTTCCAGTACTCTCTCCATCCCCTGAAATGCAATAATCCGAACGAGTCAGATAAGTGGCTTCCGGAAGCGCAGTGCGCCTGAAGCTTTAACGAGCGCCTGGAATATTTCCAGCACTCAACCCCTCTTCTCTGCCTCTCCTAGTAAAACCCCCCGAACCTTCACCCTGCACAAACTGCTCTGCTCTTCGTGCAATCCTATTTCTGCTGCTTTAGTCGACCTGGGCGACGTCCTTCTCGGTGTACTTGCCCTTGTTGGCGGCTTTGCTCTTTCTCTCCAGCAGAGCCTTGCGGTCCTTGTTCAACTTGGGCTTGGTGATGACCACCTTGCTGGGGTGAATGCCGATCGGGGTGCTCTCCCCTGCGCGAATACAATGACGCAAATACAATACACATTAATTACAAGCCCACTAGGTCCGAGGGGGCAGTTCTGCGATTGAACGGTTAGCATGTAAGCAACCTAGGCAGTACGCAACCCATTGCCGATACAACTTGTCAGTCAAACGTCCAAGCTACCACCCCCACACCCAGCCAACTGACCATTTGGCTTGTCTCTAGTGATCCGCTCAATGTGAACAACAAACTTCTTTCTATAGACCTGAATCACTTTGCCCTCGCGATCATGAAAGCGGCCGCGGACGATCATCACCTCATCATCCTTGCGAATAGGCAGCGAGCGAACCTAATGAGGCAAGAGGGAACAAGAATGGAGGGCGAAAATCAAGAAACTGAGGCAACAGAGACTACGTAACATGAAGCGGCAAAAAGCGCCACAAGCGTCCAATGAGGGCAGAGTAAGTAGGACAGCCCATATCGAGCGTCAGTTGGCGGAGTCGAGTGGCACCGAGTTCTCTCCTCAAACCCTCTAGCCGGATGCAATAGCGACAATACAAGCCTGCCAAGAGGCGATACTGCATTTCCCCCCGACAACCAACAGCAATCTTCATGACCCGAGTCGCATTACCACTCTATACCCGTATGCTGGGCTGAAATACAAGACTCGCCACCTGCGAGTCTGGAGTGCTTACGTTGAATTTCTTCCTGAGCTCCTTGCAGAGGGGGGCGGTCATAATTTTTCTCCTTACAGAGGAGGGCGCAGTGAAGTGCGCCTTCCTCGACTTCCGTCTCGAAGAGGAGACGCCTAAGCGCACAAAGCCAACACATCAAGTCTACAATCCTGTCCGTTGCACCAGAAAAACAGCCAGCCCAACCGTAGCTCACGGTCGTAAGCACCAAATGCAATGGCCAAGGGGCCTCTGAATCCAAAAGGCACAGAGACTCCAAGACCAGCCCAAAATTCAGCGCTACAGATCGTGCTGCTGTCATGAACGGGCAACTCGGAGGCAAAATCAGGAGGCGATCACTTATTAAAAGACCCCCTTCCTGCGACTCGGCGAGTGCGCACGGCCTAAGCAAGCAACTGCAGGAGAGAATTCCCCTGCATTATGCTGGGGCTTTCATTTAGCACGAAATACAAAAGAGTTCGCAAAGTGCTCGGAGCTGAAACGGGCATCGAGCGGCAGAACGCCAAACCCAAGGAGAGGCCCCCTCCGCCCTTTCCGGCGGTTCTTGACAATTCTTCGCTCCTCTGCTACGGTTTTCTGCTGTAGTACATTCCCCCGTTCAAACGCCATCGGCAACACCCGCGAATTCGCCTTTTTTCTGCCCCTATGCGGCATGCAGCGCGGCAGCACAGCGGCAGGAAGCGGAGAAAAGGAGGTGCTCCTTACTCTTGTTGAACTTCATCTTCTTCAGGAAACACTTAGAGAAAAATTCCTAAAGACAAAGAAGAACAAGATCCTCTCCGGCTTTTTTATTGTCGGTCCCTTCTCTCCCAACTCCCCGCACTGTACAAGCGGAGACCCCCACGCCGCAGCTGCAGCCCTGAAGTTGAACTGTGTTGCATGAGGATGCGTGCTGTATTTTGTCGCTTTTAAGCTTTCGAGTTAAGTTGAGACTACTTTGTGTCTCCGTGAATGGAGCTCCGAATTAAATGCGATCCGTCCATGTCACATAACGTCTGTGTGTAGTTTTCATTGCTGAATGGTTTCTGCATATGAGGAGCGCTGTCCACACCACCAGCGACCTTCTTACGCAGTGCTCTTGTACTTTCCGGTAGGTTCTCGTCGCCAGTGCTTGTCTTGCGATGGATAAAGTGTGATTTAATTGAGCATCTCTAGCATTCCCAATCAAAGGAGAGCAGTTAACGCAGGTTGACGCTTGCTTCCCAGCCGCTGCTGTTGCTGCTGCTTCGCTCTGCTGCCGCTCCTGCTGCTGCTCTTGCAAACAGCCCCATTCTTCCTATATTTGCGTTTTCGGCTGGAGGGCCTAAAGAGTGCCCAACTTGAGGGCAGCAAAAATTGGCTGGTCGAAATTGAATTCAACCCGACAGAAATTGGCGTTTCTTTCTCCCCCTTTGAACCCTAAACATGACACCGCGAGGACTCTCCAGCCCGCGCAGCCAAACAGCTCCCTCTGCTCGCCGTTTGCATGCCTAAAAGCCGTATGGCGCAAAACTCAGCTGGACACCCTTTTCTGCGTGGTCCTCTAGTCAAGTGTGTTGCCGTTCTTCCCCGCGAATCCTGACGCCCTCTCGCCATCCCACTTGAACTTCAAGCCGCAGGCGCCTCGCCGATCGTATCGTATGGCGTGCAGTGAGTGGCCGCCTTGAAAAGAGCGCAGGGGAGGAGGCACTGCTCGTGCCAGCCCACTTTTAGACATCTCTTTCTCTGTCTCCCGCACTCTCACTCTCTCTAGCCGAGTCGACTGGTTGCGGTGTATGGCGGTGCTCCCACGCGTCACAGCGGCTGAGCGCATCCCTACCTAGAGGCCCCTCCCTCATGACTGCATCATCAGCAAACGCACTGCCGTAATCGGGAAACATTGCAATTTAGCCGCACGGTAGACTTTTCAGAGCGGGATATCTCCGCTATGCGCGCGCCGTTCTTTCTCTTTGGTTTCGGCTAACGGCGGCAGCGAGCGAGCGAGCGAGCGACCAACGAACGGGGAACGGCAAAAGGCCGCACAAGCCGAACAAATGAACTTTTTACCGTCCTCTTCTCTCCTCCTTGGACTCTCCAACGCAGGAGCGTCTGTACGCCGTCCGCACAGAGAATCATGGGAACCCCCTGAAGGCACAGAGCTCGGCGACGTTTGCGCCCGTGCAGGAGGCGCGCCTTCTCCTGACATCTCCCCCGAGGATCCCTTCTTCTTCCCCCCTGACGAGACAGCCAGCAACGCAAAAGCAGCGGCAGCAGCCTCCTTCTCCCCCGCCAACCCTTCCAGGAGGAATGCTTCCTCTTCAGCCTCCTGCCAAGTGCCGTCTGCATCGCACTGCTCCGCCGCTGTTTCTCCGCAGGGGGGGCGCCCTCTTCGCACCGCTTCCTCCTTAGCATCGCAGGCGCCACAGAATAAGGGCGAAGCATTCCAAGAAGAGGGATCTCCCCCCTCCTCAGCAACAGTCAAGCAGCAGCTGGCAGCAAGCCACAGTAGTGTTCTACGTAGCCGTTTTGTCTCAAGAAGCGACTCTTTGCCAGCTGTGCGTCGTGCCTGCTCCGGAGTTTCTTCCGCAGTGCCTTCTGCTCCCTATGAGCGGCTGCTTCTGCAGCGGCAGCAGCAGCGACGGCAGCAGCAACAGCAGCAACAGCAGGAGGCCGCTTTGCTGCCACAGCAACAGCAACAGCAAAAGCAGCAGCAGCATGAGGAGGAATCCGCTTTGCTGCAACAACAAGAGCAACAACGACAACAGCAGCAGCATGAGAAGGAGGCCGCTTTGCTGCAACAACAAGAGCAACAACAACGGCAGCAGCTGCATGCGGAGGAAGCCGCTTCGTCGCAACAACAGCAGCAGCAACTCTGCACCCTCATCTCCTTCCCCACTCTTTCTTCTACTTATGGCAGCAGCGAAGGGCTGGCGGCGGCTCTGGAGGAGAGACACCTGAAGCAGCAACAGCTGGAACGGCAGCAGCAGGAGGAAATTCAGCAGCAGAAGCAGTTGATTTCGCAGCAGCAGCAGTTGACTTCGCAGCAGCAGCAGCACAGCCCGCCGCCTCAGGCGTCACCAGTAGCCGAGCTAAAGGGCCATGTGCTTTCTCCAGGCTTGCGGCTTCAGCTGTTGCACGAGCTCCTGCTTTCTTCCTCATCGGCAGCTGCAGCCTCCAGCAGCAGCATGGGAAGAAGCGAAAGAAAGTGGTGGAGCATGGACGACAGAAATCTGGAAGGCTTCGCATTTACGCATCACAGGACCTTTCTAAGGAGACTTGCGAGGTAAGCAGTTTGCATGAACACCGCTCTCGCCAGCGGCGACAGTGCTTGGGATCTGTATCGACTGCTGCTGCGTTGAAGGCACAGCGCATGCAAAGCGCATGAGCGGCAGATGCACGTTGAACATTCGAACCGACAGACACACTCCTGCAAGTCGTAGCCTCTCCTCCTGCAACTCCTATCCTCTGCCGCCTCGCCCTCTGTCTCGTTTCTGCACTCTTTCGTAGCTGCTTCTCTTGCCACGCACTCCGCAAGGATCTCTGCGTAGCTGCCTTTCGCGCTTTCCCCTCTCGTCCTGCTGTGTGTCGCTTTTTTTTCTTCCCCCAGTTTTTCTGTCGTTGCAAAGGCTTGTCTCGCTCGCACGGCTGCCTGCCTGCGGGGTGCAATGCAGCGGTACATACGTCTGCATGCGCCTTAGTGTCCATCCCACATGCTGTGCGGCGCTGTTTCATGAATCAAATTGCATGTATGCGTAATTTTCCTCTATTTGATGACGCACACCACACAGGCATGCGATGCGTCTTTTGCTAGGGGTGGTGTTCATGGGGTGCGTGCGCTTGCCCTTAGCCACACGGAGCCGCTGCTGACGCTGGCTTGGCTCTCACTGCAGATCGCTCTGCGTTTCATGGATGTATGTGTGTATTTATGTGTGTATATTTGTGTATGTGTGTATATTTGTGTATGTGTGTATATATTTGTGTATGTGTGTATATATTTGTGTATGTGTATATGTGTGTATATATGTGTGTATATTTGTGTATGTATATGTGTGTGTATATATGTGTGTATATTTGTGTATGTGTGTATATATGTGTCTATATTTATATTTGTGCATATATATTTGTGTATGTGTATATTTGTGTGTGTGTGTATATTTGTGTGTGTGTGTATATATATATGTGCGTATATTTATATTTGTGTGTGTGTATATATATGTGCGTATATTTATATTCGTGTATGTATATATTTGTGTATATTTATATTTGTGTATGTATATATTTGTGTATGTATACATTTGTGTATGTATATATTTGTGTATGTGTGTATTTGTATGTGTATCTACGTAGCCTTCCTGCTGTCTTTGTGTGCGTTTCAGAGGGGTGCCGCCTGCTTACCGCTGGCGTGCGTGGCAAGCAGTGGCTGCATACTACAGGGAGATGTGCTGCGTGAGCGGCTTGAGTCATGCATGCCTGTCTGCCAGCCAAGGGCAGCACTCTGTGCACTCTAGAGAGACTTCCGAGGCTGAAAAGCTGCAGCAGCACATCTTGACGCTCCCCGGCTCCGTGGATAAGGCTGCTTTCCTCGAAGCGTACGAAGGGGGGTATGTTTGCCCCAAGTTGTATGCAGCACTTGCAAAGCACAAGTCTGCATACTCGAATCTCATTCTGATTGACGTTCCGCGAACTTTTCCAGAGATCACCGCAGTGGATAGAGACGCGCAGGCTATGCTCTTCCACATCCTGGTTAGTGCGAAGGGGTAAATTCTACGACGGGGGATTGGTCTTTCGCGGCAGCAGCCGGCTGAGATTGGGGGCACGTCACACAGACACATCCACACACACATACACACAGCACTGTGTATGTGTGTGTGTGTGTGTGTGTGTGTGTATGTGTATGTGTATGTGTGTGTGTGTGTCGTGCCCCCTTGCGGGTGTGCCGTTCACGATCGGTGCGAAGTTTACGCTTGCTATTTGAGTCAACCTCCCCTGTCTTTGGCTAAAGTTTTCGAAGCCACGGCTCGTGGGTTGTTCTGTGGTTGCCTATCCTTCCGCAGAACGCCTTTGCCAACTTGCATGTGGAGGTTGGATACTGCCAAGGTGCGTATTTCTCCCCTTATCGGCCTTTTCCTGCTGTGTATTTTTGCATTTCTGTCATGCTTTCTACCGGGATTACGCAGCTTCTGCATTCATGATGAGTTTTCGTGGGTGCGCGCTGCGTATTCGGGCAGGCGGGCAGCGCTGCATGCGGAAACCACGCGGGTGTGCTGCTGCCGTGCTGGATATTCTTCCTTGTCGCTCCTTCTTCTTCTCGCAAATGCTATTTGTCTTGTTTTCCGATGTTGCCAGTACAGTGCAGTCCACAACCACTTTCGACCTTCATGGGCTGCGCTTCTGATATCCTTGCGCCATGCCGTCTGCTCAGGGATGAACTTCGTTGCAGGCCTGCTGTTGCTAGTCTCTTCGTTTAACGAGTTCGAAACGTTTTCCTTCTTCTGCTTCATGATGACGAAGCAACACTTGAAGGAATTTTTCAGGGAGCGATTCCCTCTCCTCAGGAAGTACATCAAAGGTGAAACTGCACTGCTGAGCCGCACAGACACCGTGTGCATGACCTCTAGAGCATCCGAAAGACAAAGGCAACGCTTCACAAACTCGGAGGTGTAGATGTCGGTGGCAGCTGTAAACTGTGCAGCTTGTGCTTGATCAAGCGGCCGTGAGAGACGAGCCAGAGAGAGAGAGATGAGAAAGGGTCGTGTCTTGCCTGCATCGATTTTGCGCGTACTCTGAGCCCGTCGTTTTTCCTGCTTTCTTCTTTCCTCGTATGACTTTACGTCTCCGCCCAGTTCCTAGCAGAATGGCGCGTCATGGAATGCTCTCTTCGATTCTTTGAGCTCCCTCCCTTGTCGTGTGCGTCTGTCTGTTTCGGGTGCAGCCTTCGATGAGATGGCAGTGGTGCACTTGCCCAAGCTAAGGGAACATTTTCTTGAGGAAGGCGTCTCTGCTCCCGTTTATCTGCATCAGTGGTACTTTGGCTTTGGCTTGCAAATCTATTTACGCATTAGTATTCCACTCATGCAGAAGCTACCAGAATGAGCAGCAGACAGCGCTTTCCATGAACAGTGCCCATAAGCAAGCCTCTGATCACGCACGCCTCTGCTGGGGTGGTGCCTGTCTGCACTCCATTCTGCTCACAGTTTTCCTTCTTTTCCACCGAGCGCAACAGGCCGAGCCTTTCTGCGCGCACACGCACTCAGATCGAGCAACGGGGCCTAAACCTAGCTAGTTCGGCTCGATTTTTCTGCAATCGCTTTTTCTGTCGTCTTCCGTTCCGCTTCACGGTTCTCGTGTTCTCACTAGCCAGCCCAGCCTGTGGTGCAGGCATGCTCTCCCCATGCTGCAAACTTTAGTGCCCACGCGTGTGTTCTCTGATTATATGCGCAGGTTCCTCACCCTTTTCATAACGTCCCTTCCCCTCCGTTCCGTTTTGGTGGTGTGGGATTTTCTTCTCGCGAGGGGCCTCCCCGCTGTGCTGCAACTGGCAATTGCACTACTGCGAGTTTTAGCTCGCTTTCTCCTCCGTCTCAAGTGAGTCGGAGCGACACTGGCTAAAGCTGTCGGTGCTAGCATGAGGGAACGGGCTCTGGTGCATGTCAACCAAAGACCGCGCACCTCGCGCTCATTATGCGCCCACATGACGAGTGTCTCACTGCCCAATCCGACGTGCCTTTCGTTAGCACATGTATACACATATATACATGTATATACACAGGCATATAGACAGACATGCGTAAAATGTTGCTATTGCAGTTGGAAGCGAAGGGTGGGGCTAATTAATCATAGATATAGTGTCTTTCTGACGAGGTTTAGTGGTGTATCTTGCAATGTGTTTTCTCTCACTGCGCTTTTCTTGTATTGCATTGCGTTTCGCTGCTTCTCACCACAGTTGTATTCACCGCCCCTCTTTTTCCCCTGCAGCTTTGTCGTTTGCACAGCGTGCATTGGCCAGTAGCTTGGGTGCGACATGCTTGCCATGCTCTGACTGTCTGGTTTTGTATTCATTCCTCTTGCACCTGCTTCAGATTCGAAGAAATAGTAAAATTCCTTAAATCCCTCAAGTGCAGCGGAGGTGTTGACGACTTCCGCATAGGCAAGATGTTAGTGAAGCAGGCTGCCAAAATACAAATACCGACGCCCATTTTGGAGGTACCGCTGAAAACTCGACAAACGCATCATTATCAATTCTTGATTCGTATTTTTCAAGCAGAAATGATTTTTGATGCGCACGTGTTCTAGACTTTCTCACGAGCCTTCTTTGCTCCTTGCGGGGTCATAACGGGTTTTGAATTGCCGTGGCGATTGCCTCTAGCGAAATGTCATGGTCCCTTTCTATTTGCCATTCTTCGTCATCCCCATCTCGCATGCTTTTTTGTGGACTCCCTCCTTTCCTGCCAAGTCTATCCTGCCTTCTTGGCTGCCCTTGCTCCCCCTTTCTCTCTCACTTCCTCTCCACCGGTTGGTCCCTCGTTTTCTTAGCCTCTTCTTCGTTTTACTTTCCCCAGGTTGCCGCCCTTTCGAACGCTTCTTTCATGAACATGCACCTTGGCGTTTCAGTATTCATGTGCTTGCGTCCTGACGTAGAGAGGCGCCGCACGCGCTTCTTGCGTCCTCTGCGAAGTTTTCGGTTATCACGGTGCCCTCACTTGTGCATCCTGTCGATCGTCCCTTTGCCTCTTCAGCTCCCGGCATTTTCGGACCGCGAAGTATCGTTCTTCGTCTTTTTCTGTCTGCGTCCGTTGTGGGTGTACAGGAAATAAGCCACATGAACCTGGAGACGATCATGAGGGAGGCCGAGTTAGAGGACGAAGAGGAGAGCCGTTCACGGAATGCAGCCTTCTTGACCGTGGTTGACAGCCTGCCAAGCGTTCCACGGTCCGCCCAAAACCCTTTGGCGCTTGTTTCTGGCAGGGCCGATGAGGAGGATGCAGATGATGATGCTTTCTGTAAACTTCCTCTCGGAAGTTCAAGTCTCTCGGGAGCAGCGGGTGGGGGGGGGGCGCCTCGGTCTGAGCAGTCTACCCCGAGGGAAGATCAGTCCGAGGAAATGGTAGTTCTGCGCTCTGCCCCTTCTCCTCCGAAGGAAGACGCAGAATGCCATGAAGCAAGCGTCTTGGAGCGCCAACGAGGGCCTGCTATTGCCGTGGTTCTACCGTGGTTCGCCAGGAGCGACTCCGACGCGCAGCTCAGTGCAAATGCAAGTCCAAGAGACGTAGAGGCACGCAAGGGGGCCGATAGGGGGCACGGATGCGGCGGTGCGTCTTCTGCTGCTGAGGCTGCATTGCGAGCAAGGCGCCATCACCAGCCGCCGTCTCGCTCGGAATCGCAGTCGGATGCTTCTGAAAAGGCCTCAGCAGATGGAATAGAGCAGAGGAAAGAATTTTTTAATCGGGCAGAGCCGCGCTGGACGCCGGAAGACACACTTTTTCGGGCAGCACGAACGTCAGCAGAAGCAACAACTTCGGAGGATCGAGACGGCGCTTTGACCCCAGAAGTAGAAAACGCGAGAAGCTCGTTCGCGGAAGTGCGGCTTCCCTCCCGTGAACCTGAATCGGATGAAGACGGATATGAACTTGTAGAGATTCCCCATGCCGAGAGAGGACGTGCCGAGAAAGCTGGAGACAGCAGGAGGCCGGACGGCAGCGGCAGCACCTCATTATTCGTTCCGAGCGCTTTCGCAGACGAACACGGAAGAGACGCTGAGAGAGACAGAGAGGGAAGCTTCATTGACACGCTTACCCTGTGGCTCGCGGGGCGATAGGCAAGCCTCAAGTCGTTAAGTGTGTATTTTTTTGTCTGGGCGCTTGTGGGAGCGGAGCGGTGAAGTCTAAGGGGCATTCGAGGTTCATGACTTGGCGCCAATACCCTATTTCATGGTGCTACGGAGCGCAGTTCGTGCTGTTGGTTTTATATGGTGGGTCTCAGTTGTATCGAGCCTTCTGCTCTGATGTTTGCATGCATGTCTGCTCTAGGCCCCTGAATGCCGAGCTTACTGCAGACCAAGTGGCTATCGTTTCTGTACATGACAGGGTAACAGATACATTTTTCTGTTTTTGGACAGTAATTTTGGAGCAATCCTTTACGAGGCTCAAGTGGTGCGGATATGCTGCTCTGATGTGGTCCGTTGCGTTGCGTGGTTCATGGAGAACCGCTTTTTCAGCCTACTTCACGTGTAGAAGGGCTGCCGCCTACACGGCCTTAGGAGAACTATGTTGTGCGATACAGCGCATGTAGGGTAACTCGGCGGTTATTACTGCACTACGATTTCACAAAGCGTACAGATTTTTGAGCGGAGACCATTGGTAGCGGGGCATTTCGGAGCTCGAAACACCTTTTGCACCGCAGCGCATGCATATTCTATGGCTTTAGTCCGGCAGCTAGGGCCTATGACTCTTGGAACTAGCGCAGTCGCATGGACCGAATTTTGGGAGAACAACAATAGAATTATCATGACGAAAACTGAGTAAATGAAGGTCATAATACTGGGGTTGGCTTACTACGGCAAATCTTTTGGAAGCTAGCGTCATGCAAGTGTATTAGTTTCAAGTGTACAGGCCAGCGAAGCTAAAACCTGCAATGGGCTCATGGCGCCACACAGCAATCGTATTGCTTTGATGAGGATAGAAAATCGATGATCGTGTATTACTTCTTTGGAGCACTGTCAGTTCGCCGTGTAACCTTTTCTCACAATGCTGCTGTCTGCGGCTACAGATTCGAATTCGTGGGTATATCCTACGGATCAACATGGAGCTGTTGCGAAACGCCTTAAGACTCTTTGCGCGAATGGTAGCCACTTTGCTGAGCGGGTCTGTGGAATTCGAGAGACTTTTAAAGGGTTGCGAAACTCACTGCGCTTCCCCTCATAGGTTAAGGAGTTGAAAAAAAAGCGAGCTTCTCTTGAGAGGGCACGCCAGACTTTTCTGCTTAAAAACCAGCAACTTGACACAGAGATGCGTAAATTACAATCGGAATGCGAAGAAGCAGCTTCTAGGTGCCAGATTCAAATGGAGAGAACAAATGTACTAAAGGAGAAGCTGGTTGTTCAGATCAAGAAGAAGAAGGCACGTCGCTGCCTCACTGCTCTCCTCTGCGCTGCTGCTCTCTATGCAGTTTATATCTTATGGCTTCCCTAGGAATTGCAAAATGCAAATATTTGGATTCGGACGGGGACGGCGTGCGGCGCAATTTCCCACATTCTCAGGTCTGCCCGTGATGTTCTTAACAGCAGAGAACGCTGAGTCTCTGCCTTGAGTGTTTTTCTCTCCTGCCTTGTATTGGGTTCCGTTAGCTCGATATATTTGACATAATTCTACTTGTCGAATTTCTAGGTTGCGGGAAGATCTTCAGAAAGTGAAACAGCACATGTTCACGTCTGAAGAATACAAGCACTACGCGGAAAGCGCAAACGATATTTTGTCCTTGGATGAGAAGATTGTGTCTGCTTTGCAGAAAGCTGCAATGCGTAAGGAATGGGCAAATAGAAACTTCAATTGTGCATTGCTCTGCCGAGATGGCACATCAATAGTGAATGGATAGTAGCTCCTAAAACGCAAACTTTAGTGGTATAATGCACTTTTTTCATTTTTTTGGCCTCAGTTACGGAGTCCAATCTCTCTGCGCTGGCACAAGAGACGAGCTTGACATTGGTAGGCAGTCCTCTTGTTCCTGACATGCAATTTCCACAATTAATGCAACAAGCAAACAAAACTACACAAACAGCCTGGGAGACTCACGTACAGCGAAAAAGCTAAACTGAAGGCACTGCTTTCGCCAAGTCGTCCTGACACTGAAGAGGATAAGGTGAATGGAGCTTCATGCTGCAGTCCAAATGACGCTTGAGAACTGACATCTCGAGGCATTTCGTCTTCCAGCTGCTTCTTCTGACACTGCTTCTCTGTGCTGTAAACAAATTGGACCTTCCTGAGTCATCTTCTGCAGCCTTTGCAAGAACGAGTGATGATTACTACGCATCGTTTCACACCCAGACTGAAAGGCGGGAGGCTTAGCAGAACGAGGAAAGCCTTCAAAACCGAGGACTACGCGAGATCGAGCTCGGGCTTACCCATATCGAGCGGACCCACCTAGTCTTATGAGATTGCAACTGTATTCGACGCCTCATGTGCGTTTGTGAACGAACCAAATTGAAAGGGGAAGGCACGCGGCACATGGCGCAGCGGCGAGCGTGAGCGAGTGAAGCAACATGAAGAACACACGAGTAGCAGCTGCAGATACCGTGGCATTAGGCCAAGCACCATCAACATGACTAATAATAATAAGAATCCGCAGTACAACCAGTTGCTCTTGCGCGCAGCCTTGGCGTCACTGCGTTCAACTAAACTGGCAGAGATTTTTTCAAAATTGTGAACCGCACGAATGATTCCGTCCATGGCACCTCTGTCTCACTAAATTTAGAGATATTGAATGACGAGACTGCGAATTGCCTCCTTCAGCAAGACAACCCGCTCAGATACTCTAACTTGATTCTCTGCTTGCGGTGGATAGAACAGCAATTAGCGCCAATAGTGTACCATTTCTTCTAATAATTAATGTATTATTTCACTTCCTCTCCGCATTTTCCCTTTTACCCGTTTGATTCCTTCTCCCAGGAAGCGCTAGTGTACTGGACTACATATTCACGAACCGAAAAAATATTCTTGGCGGCGCTCAGAAAAATCAAAAGGACGTTTCGCCCTGGCCTTATATGTGGGGTCTTATTCGTGACCATTTAATCAAGGGTAAGAGCACTTGAATGAATTTGATCCGAAAAGTTGAACACGACAATGAAAAGCGCCGGTTGTGGCTGTTGCTGCTGCCCTTTTCCACAGGGTGTATCGACGGGTACCGCGTAAGGCACAATCGCACTTGTTGGCTTCCTCCAGTTCAAAAGGCCTCTGTTTTTGCTTTTCTGGGATAAAACTAAACTTCGCTGCCATTGGATTAACTTCGAGACGTGACGCTACGTGACTGTCTTACAAAGGACGCTGCCGACGACGGCAGCCGTACAAAGGAGGGCGCCAGAGAGTCATTCTTTCCGCGTTGATACTCGCGTGGTTTTCTGCGCATTCACTGAATCTCAGCGCCACTCTTCTTTTCTTTTTGTGTGTGACCCCTCTCCACTCGCAGACGTTTCTGTGTTTCCCTGAGTGGACTCCCGGTTTGGCGCTCCTGCGTCATTGCACCGCACAGAACGAAGAGGATGATGAGCCGGGTGCACACCGACCAGGCGGAGTCGGAGGCGGATCTTTTATCGCTCTTCCCAGACACCTGGAGAGAACTGGCAGGCAATCTGCGGAAGCTTCCCGAGGAGCAACCCGTTCATGCGTCAGCCTCTCCTAACACCCCCCTAAGCCCCGAACACCCTGGAGGGCCCCCTACGGGGGCCTCCCAGCCTCCGGTAGACACACAAGCCTTCTTAGAGTGCACTGAGTTGCTGGGGAGCTTCTCGTGTGAAGTGTTTTTATCGCTCAGACCATGCGACGCCGGGAGTTTCTCCCCGCCCACCTCTTCGACAGGGAGAGATGCCGCGAGCGGCTCCCCCGCTGCGTGCAGCCGCGGCGAGCCCTTTGGGGATAAACGAGGCACTCTCCCTCACACTGCTTCGTCTGCAGAGGCGATGCCGATGGCAGACGGTGCAAGCAGCAGCGGCAGTGCCCCCTTGCTGCTGCCGTCGTCGTCAGCGCACGAAGGCAGTAGCGAGGCACCCCCCCAAACCGTGTCGCTGCCGAGCAGCACGAAGGAACAATCAGCTTTCGCTCAGCAGCCTGCCTCTCGAGACTTGCACGAGGCATCCGATGTCGCTTTGCCGCGACTCACCCTGACCACTGGCTCCCCAGAACGGGCAGCTGCCGGAGAACAACCCCCCCAAGAGGCTGCTGTCGGAGCCTTCTCACCCCGTCCTCCTCCTTCGCCAGTCTCCCTCCAACAGGAAACTGCAGACTCGGAGCAGGAGGCGCAGCAGGATGACGCAGCGGCAAGGGGCAGCGCCGCTGCAGAGACACCCCCCAACCCTTCCTCGCCGAATGGCAGCACACAGACACCCGCAGAGAACGCTTTCCAAGGCAGCAATGGCAGCAGCCTCTCCGCAGAAGCCTCCACAACTGTGCCTTGGGCTACAGCATTCCGATTGATGAGTGGAAATTACCGCAGAAGAGCAAGGAGAAGAACCCTCTTGGCACCCAGGTGCCACGATGCGTATGGACAGCTCGCCAGTGCAAGTAAGATGAGGCTTTTCTGCTGCCCTCTCACGCTTTCTGCAGCAGCAGCTGCTGCAGAAACACTGAGTTTCTTGGTCGTCACCCTTCAGCAGTGCTGTATGCTCCGTGGCATGGCATGCATGGCGTGGCATGCATGGCATGCATGCATACACTCACACCCCTGCCCCCCCGCTCCACGGCTGCCTCTCTATCTGCGCTGCTAAACCGCCTTCTATAGAGCTTTAGACGGCTTTAGAGCCTTCTCAGCAAAGAAAGCTGTCAGATGGATGGGGTTGCTGCTGTATGCATCGTCGAACGTGATTGCACACGAGACAGAGCGTTCGTGCGTCTTTTCTTTTCGCCCCTTCCTACGGTGGGCTGCTTGCGCCTCTAATGGCGTCTTTCGTGGATCGCCACCAATGCATGCGCGTAATTATATAGAGAGAGGGAGACAATCGTCCTTGTCTCTCTCTCTCTCATATTCTTCCGGCACACGGGAAGCTCTTAGTTAGGCTTGAGACTGTGCAAGAGAAGCAGCACCAGCTTCTGCGAATTTTGTGTCATGGCTATAAGTGTATATATGCATATGTACATACAAATGTATACATACATATATATATATGTATATATGTGTGTGTGTGTGTGTGTGCATTAATACGCCTTTTTATGTGTGTACCCCCCGTCTATCGCGCATTTCTGCAATTTGTCTGTCCTGCCTTTGAGGGGGCGTCTGTCTCTGTCTGTCTGCAAAACCGCTTGAATGAGAAGAAGGCGGGCGGGGGAGAGAGGCAAGGGAGTGTATCTGTGTATAGACATGCGAGAGGCAAGGGTGTTATTTTTTGGTGTAGAGATGCGAGAAGAAAGGGTGCTATCATTTTTGTACAGACACGCGGAGGTGTTCATCATTTTGTGACTGTTCGCAGTTAGGCGGCATGCGGCTGCCCGTGAATCGAGACGGCATCTTCTCTGTGGTGCTGCTGAGGGTTTGCTGTGCGTTCGAATGCCGTATGGACCGCGTAGCTGTTTTCCTGCTGGCGATTC